TCCCGCTCCCTTCCCCTCCCCTCCCCTCCCCTCCCCTCCTCCCCTCTCCTCTCCTCCCCTCCCGCCCTCCCGCCCGCCCCCGGGCCCGCGCTAGCCTCCGGCCCAACCTTCCCCGCGCCGGGTGCTGAGGCGCCGCGCGGCCCGCGTAGCCGACAGTCCTCCGGGAAGGCGAGGCCGAGCGCGGCGGCCATGGAGGCGGCGGCGCGGAGGCGGCAGGTGCCGGGAGCGGCGGGCGGCCCGGGCGCCGCGTTCCTGCAGGCCAGGTGCGCGCCGAGCGGGGACAGGGAGGCCGCGCGGGGCCCGGAGTCGGAGACCTCGCCAGGGTTGGGGGAACCGCAGGGCAGGCTGCTCGGAAGTCACCCGGCCAGCTCTGCTGATTTCCCCCCCGCCCCGTGACACTTCCAAGTTCGCTGGAGCCTCCTGCTCGGGGCAGGACGGCGACTCTGCCTGAATCAGGAAGCAGGGGGGCGGTGGGGGACCAGGAAAGTAGCCGGGCACAGAGGGAAGTGGCACGCTCCCGTCCTGAAGGAGGGAGATGTTTGGGGTTTCATCTGTCTAGGCAGGGCAGAGCCTTTCATCTTTCCCTCCAGTCCGCCTTCACGGACTAAGTTCCTGTGCTGATTAAGTACCTGTCATGTGCCTAGCGCAGTGCCAGGTGGGAAACGGGAAAGTCGGAGCCAACGCAGGTGACAGCCAATCCTGGAGGGCTTTTCGGAGGAGTTGAGCGGTACAGCACTCTGCAGGGGACACTTAACACTTTTAGGCGGGGCATGCTGGCTATCCTTTAACCCAGTCCCTCGGGAGGCAGAGGCAGGTTTCTAGGGGGATGTATTTCAGTCAGTAGTGACTGCATAGCGTGCAGAAGGCCGTGGGTTCGATCCTCAGCACCGCAGACACTGGATGTGGTAGCCAGTGGGAGAATGTGAGGAACTGACGCTGGGCTATAGGTCCAGGTGTCCGAGGAGAGGACAGGGGCCTGAACTGACTTCGAAGTACCTGGAGTTGGACCAGAAAGCCCTAGATCTGAAGTTTGAGGAGGTACCAGTCCTGAAAAGGAGCTGCTTAATCCGAGAGCAGTAGGCCCCTTACTTTCCTCCCCTAAATGACCTGTTTAAAATTTATACCGCATACCCCATCGGTACCAGAGCCATGGAAGGCTTTGAGCACTAGGATGCTCCACGTGAATTTTAAGAAGTTCTAGTGTGCTTTAGGGTAGCGGGGGAAGTTTTGGGGGACAGGGCTGAGGCCATCTTTTTCATTGTTCCTGAAGAATGTGGGATTCTTTGCTTTTTGGCCTGGACGTAATTCTCTGAGCATGTACAGTGCCATGCCTAGCAATGTTTCTACCTGGTGGTCATCCTCTGAGGTCTTCAAGGCTTAGTAACACAGCGGCCATCCTAGTTTGTACTTAAACTCTATCGTGTTTGCACTGGGGCAGATTGGCCTGTGGGCACATCACTGAGCACTTGTCACTGGACTGCCCCTTCTTCCTCTGAGTGTTACTTCATCATCTTGACTGATAAGGAAAGGAGCCTGATCAGACTGAGGCTCAAACCGTGTAACCCAGAAACATTCCATGAGTTCAGGAGGCTTCAGCAAGCTTCCCATGGTACCAAGAGGCTCAAGTTTACCTTCCACATTTGCGACTGTCACAGTTGTTTCCCACTGTTACTTGTGGATTAATTCTAAACAATAGACATCAGTTTACATTATTGAAGCTGTCTTTGGTTTTCTGTTGTATTGAGACCAAGATCTCCCTCTGCTATGTAGCTGTGGCTGTCTTGGAACTCACTCTGTAGACCAGGCTGGCCTAGAACTCACAGAGATCCATCTGCCTCTGCCTTTACCTTCTGAATGCTGGGATTAAAGGGGTGAGCCTCTGCCCCTGGCTTTTAGTTATTTTTTTATTTTCTCCTTGTTATTCTTTGTCTGCACCTCCTCATTTTTTATTAAAACATCTCCATCTCATTATGTCTGGTATTTCATCATCCTTTATAAAGAGCCCAAAGTCATTCCCATTCATAGTTCTCTGTTTACTTGTCTAGACAAGCCCTTTTCTTTTCTGCCATTCAGGCTGGCAGATGCTGCTGTGTGGTACTGGCTACCCAGCTGTTGTGGGGTCAGTTTCCCCGTGTGGTAGACTGGGGAGCTGTGCAGGGGAGCAGGAGCAAAGGCTGGGCTTGCCTCAGGTTGCCTGGCATTGTGCTTTCATCACTGTCCTCAGTTCTGTCAAGGATTGCTGGTGATGGGGTCTTAGGACCAGCATGGCCTGGGGGTTCAGACTGAGAAGTCTGGAATCAGGAACTTGGGACAAGCTTGAGGTTACTCATCCTCTGGACAAGAGCTTGGTATTGAGGGGAGACACCTTTCCTGTGATTTGCCTTCACAGTCAGAGCCCCACAGAAGAATACCCTTCAGATGTTTGCAGTCTCTGTGTATTGCTGGTAAAGGAAGCTTTTATTAGGGTGAGGAAAAGCAGAGTGGGGATTCCAAAACGCCATGTTTATCAGTCTTGATTCCCAAGCTGGTATTTTCCCTGTTGCTACCTCTTTTCCCTACCTGCCCTACTGAGCTAGGCTGGACTAGTGTCAGGGGCTCCCATTGACAGAAGTTCTTCTTGGGATAGAGGAAGAAATTGTTACAGAGCCTCCAGTGTGAGCCAGTAACTTCTAGAGGCAAGCACCACGTGTCCCTTTCCCTGTGGACTTTCAAAATCCCTTTAACTTCTTTCTTTCTCTTTTTTCAAACAACTTTTTTTCTTTTTCTTTCTGAGACAGGGTTTATCTTTGTAGTCCTGGCTGTCCTGGAACCCTCTGTAGAGCAGGCAGAGCTGCTCCTTCCTCTGCCTCCAGAGTACAGGGGTTAAGGGTGGACAGCACCACCTCCAGCCCTTTATTTTTTAAACATCCCACCTCTGCTTTGGGGGTTTCAGAATGAAATGCCGAGGCCATTCTCCTACTCCTTCCAGATTCTTCATCACTTGCTCATTTGAGGCCTGTCAGAAAAGGAGGGAGCACACGTGGGCTCTGCTGGGCAGCATCACTGAACTCTGAGCAGGCTGCATGTTTCTGCCATTTCTGCCTCCTCTCCTCCCCCAGTTTTCTTCCTGCTTAGAACTTCCCAGCCCCACATTAGCATACCCTTCCTTTCTATAGGTTCTGCTATGCTGATCCTTCTCTAGACTGACCTCAACTGCCAGCTGGCTTACTATAGTGATCAGAATAGTAACTCATTAAGGGCACAGAGACCCAGGATTGAGTTCTGTGCTATCCAGAACTCCTGAATTTCCGAGGCAGTCAGGGTGAGCTCAACACCCCCAGCAAAAGGAAAGGTGTCAGCACATATAACCTGAGGTGACCTACTGTGTGACACAGGAACACTCTGCGTGAGCACATATGCACGCACACGCGCGTGCACACACACACACACACACACACACACACACACACACACTTTATTTGAGGCCACTTCTTTTTTTTCTTGAAAAAAGGAGGGTGGAACCCTGACAGATTTGGGGCTTGCATCCAAGAGAACCAGCATCAGAAGGAGCTCATTCCCCAGCTGGCCAAGCCTTCCCTGTGGCTAACACTACCTCTTTGGGAAGAAGCAAGAGTTAGAAAACGGGTAATAAAAAGTAGTCACAGCAGCTCTTTACTATGTGGGTGACAGTGACTGAACTCTGACCTCAGAGCCTCAGCATCTTTGTCTGAAAGACACAGGAGAGTAGCTCCTGCCTCCCATGCCACTGCCTCCTATTAGCTGAGATGGTAAAGGTCATAGCATCATGCACAGTTGGTGGTCAGTGTGTGGTGGGGGCACTAAGATGGGGAACAGAAGGCTATGCTGACTTAGGGAAAGCCTACTCTACCTGCCTTCCACAGGACCACAGATCCCCAAGGGTTTACCTCCTTGGCCTTGGGTGCCTTGATCTGTCTGTTCATCTTTGGGATTAGTGTCAGCTAATTAGCTGAGGAGCCCAGCAAATTATGATAATTACAACAGCATGGATAGAGGGTTGCCTTTCTGTGCTGCTCAGCTCATGTGCTTGTAGAGCAGGGGTACTGAACTGGCCACAGTGATGCTTCAAGTCAGCGCCAGCCAGGGACAGAACAGACAACTCTGGAGGTCAGGGACACGCGTCACCCATGTTCTGGCCACACCCACAGGATGGTGACACCATCCTCATTGTTTTACAAGTTAGTAGTGTCTCTGGGTACTCAGTAAGATGTAAGAGGACCCAGACTCTGATGGGAAGGCTGGAGAGTTGGGGGAACCCTAATGTTCTCCCCTTTTAGGCTGCTGATATGGCTCTGTGGGTTAAGGCACCCACCAAGATCTGAGTTTCTGTAGATTCTAGGATCTACATGATGGGAAAGAGAGAGGCCTCCAGGGCATGGCATGTGGGCATGCTCATATATTCAAATAAATAACTTTGTTTTGTTTTGTTTTGTTTTGTTTTGTTTTAATAAAAAGGCTCCTCTTTTGAGGGCCTAGATGGAAGAGCACAACTCCAGTCCTTTGCAGCCATGACTGGCCTGATCAGTGAGGAAATGCTTGCTCCCTGTAGGGCTGGTGTGAGTTGGAAAGCTTTCTCAGAGGAGCCCTCCCATGGGAAGTGCCAGGCCCTTGAAATTCTGTGCATCTGTGAACAGCAGGGGCAGGCTTTGAGAGGGGGACAGGCTCCAGCTGTCTGGTGGCACTTACACCTTGTCCCTGCTGGCGTCTTTCTCTGCTGTAGGCTAGAAAGAAAGTAATGTTCCAGCAGCCCCAAGCATCTGTGCAGTTGGGGAGGCTTTCGGCCCACCCCCAGTCCCTATTGCTCTGTGATTGTTCCCATGGGCCAGTCACCAAGGACACATTGTGAGTAGTGAGTAGTTAGGGTTCAATTGCTGTGAAGAGACAACATGACCATGGCAAATCTTATAAAGGGAAATATTTGATTAGGGCTGGCTGGGTTCAGAGGTTTAGTCCATTGTCTTCATGGCAGTACTCAGGCAGACATGGTGCTGGAGAAGTAGCTGAGAGTTCTACATCTTGATCCTCAGGCAGCAGAAGGAGACTGTATACCACACTGGGCATGGCCTGAGCCTCTGAGACCTCAAAGCCCAAAATGACATAGTCCTTCCACAAGACCACACCTACTCCAACAAAGCCACACCTCTTAATGGTGCCATTCTGTATGGCTGGTCCCGTCCTGTAGGAAGGAGCCATACCTATTCAAACCACACAGATAGAGATTAAAAGGAAAAACTCTGAAGCCTAATCACTTAGGTTACTCCTGGGGCAAGATACTTAGTCTATTGAATGCCCCCCCACACACACACTTATAACACGAGGGTAACATTCAGATCCCAAAGAGTATCTATAAAGATTAAAGGAATCAAGTGAGCAGATGGGGATATAGCTCAGTGGTGGACACACGCTTCCCATGTGAAAGGCCCTGGGCTCCATTCCCAGCATTACACTCATAAAAATTCACCAAACAGGGACTACTGGAGAGACGGCTCAGGGGTTTTAAGTATGCACTGCTGTCGTGGAAGCTAGAGTTCCGTTCCTAGCACCCGTGGCAGGCAGCTCACAGCCCTTGGTACTCCAGCTCCAGGCCTTCTCAAGCCCCTGCACGCGCACATAGCAGAGATGCACAGGCATGTCTTTTAAACTCAGTACACAGGCCAGGCATGGCAGTGCACACCTGTAATTCCAGCACTCAGGAGGCAGAGGCAGGCGGATCCATGAGTTCCAGGCCAGCCTGGTCTACAGAGCAAGTTCCTGGACAGCCAGGGCTACACAGAGAAACCATGTCTCAAAAAAACAAAACAAAAATACGCTGTCCTTTTGACTATGAAATGTTATTTCTAGATAACATGTGTGTCCTGTTTTCAAGTGCCTAAACCTCTTTGTCTTTCTCTTGTGTTGATGGCAAGAAGGCTGACCCTAGTCTTGTCCTTGCCAGGCACAGCTCCGTGAAGGCTGAGGAGACAGACCGCACGGCTCCCTTCCACTTTGATCTCTGGTTCTACTTCACACTGCAGAACTGGGTTCTGGACTTCGGCCGCCCCATAGCCATGGTAAGTGTGAGGCTGAGTCCTGCCCAGTGTTGAGGGGACTTAATGTGACATCAGTGTGCTGAGTGACCTTGCAAACATCGCTTCTCATAGCGAACCAGAGGCTTTCCCATTCTGTAGCTGTGTGGGAGAGGCTGGGTGGGTTCTGATAGTCATCCTGACTTCTGTGTAACCCACCCTGAAGTAGTCGAACCAGATTTGACCAATCACTGAGCCAGACAGAAGGGCTTGGGAAAGGTGGCAGAACACATCTGTTGCCCTCCCTCATTGTCTTGGGGTAATATCATCATCTAGAGGTGAAGCCTGTCAACTGGTTTTGCATATTGTAACTGACCAGATCTGTAATAACTAAAATAAAGTCACTTCCAAGTTATGAGAGTAACACAAAGAAGTCCCCAAATTAGGAAGTGTTACACTTTCCAGGCCCCGCTCCTGTCCCGGTCCTGAGGGCTTGGGGCATACCTGTCCACTGCTTTCTCTGTTTATATAAACATATAAAAATTCTTTATATAACCAAAGTACATTTTGTTTCATGCCTTATATTCTGCACTGTTTTACATTAGAATATATCTCTACAGCAATATATGCAAATTACTGTCTCCGTTAATGGCAAGTTAACCTTCCACAGTAAGCATGGACCTGAGATATGCAGTGAAACCGTCACAAGACACAACAAGCCTAGCTGCTAAACACTCCCAGCAAACGGCAGGTTACAAGATTAATATACGCAAATCAGCAGACTTCTCTATACCACACACAGATGGGGAAATAGAAATACAGCTCTATTCACAATAGCCCGAAACAGAAAACAAAATACTTTGGAATAAGCCTAACCAAAAGAGTGAGAGACCTGGGCAGCACAGAGCTCAGAGGGCAGTTTGACGGTACAGGCACTCAGTGGGAGAAAAGGAGGTGATAAGGTAGTGTATTTTTCATTTAAAAAAAAAAGGTTAAATGAAAAAGGTTTTCAAATAAAGAATGGTTTTAGACTATAAAAGTGTTTTGTCCTAAGATAAAAGATGACATTAAACAGTTAAAAGAAAAACCTAAAACAAAAAACCTAAGACAGGCCCTGGATTTCTGTGTATCATATATGACTGGACAGTCTAGTTACCGTCAATGGAACTCAGTTTCTCTCTCTGGGAGAGCTTTTGGCTTGGGGCTCCTGAAGCAGGTCCCAGAATACAGGAAGAGCTCAGTCTGTGAGTAACTGGTGCCCAGTGGCCTGTAGGCCCTCCTGTGAGCTCGTGGTCTCTTCCACAGCTGGTGTTCCCGCTCCAGTGGTTTCCTCTCAACAAGCCCAGTGTTGGGGACTACTTCCACATGGCCTACAACGTCATCACGCCCTTCCTTCTGCTCAAGGTACAGACTTGCCTGCCTCGCTCCCAGCCTCTCTGTCTCTGTCTCTGTCTCTCTGTCTCTCTGTCTCACACATGCACATGCTTGAGAACTCACATATGCACAGGCATGCACACAGGCACACGTTTCATGAGCTGTCAAGCTGGCTCAGTGAGTCAGGTGCTTTCTGCCAAGTTTGACAGCCTGAATTTCATCCCCACAGGACAGAGAGAAACAATTTTCACAAGATGTCCCCTGACATTTACATGTGACGTGTACCTACAGAAATATACACAATAAAGAAATAACTGCATGTTTCTTTAAAAAATGTTAAATGATAGACATCTCAAACCACTACATTTAGGAAAAACACAGCCTCAGAATACAGCTTCTGTGGTTTTGGAACATCCACCCCACTTCGTATATCCTGACATTTCCTTTCTGTTTGCTGGGACCTGTCACTCAAACACCAGACCCCTGCAGCATGCTAGCCCACTCAAGGCGCAGACACACTGGGATAGTGGGAGGGTCCAGCCTGGTCATGACTCCCACCTTCAGGGTCTGGTACCACCTGAGAGGAAGGCTGTGCTCAGCAGACGCTGCTGGCTCAGCCCCCACCTGTCTGGAGCTAGGCTGCTCACTAAGGAACCCCCGACCTCTAGAGAGACTTTCTATCCCGTTTTTCTGAGGGAGGGGAGGTTCCCGCACACTGACGGAGGCAGGGGCCTGCCATGGACGTGTGCTTCACTCAGCTCGTCGAGCGTTCTCCCCGCACGCTGCCACGGTCTATAATCTACGTCAGTATCATCACCTTCATCATGGGAGCCAGCATCCACCTGGTGGGCGACTCAGTCAACCACCGCTTGCTCTTCAGTGGGTACCAGCACCACCTGTCCGTCAGAGAGAACCCCATCATCAAGAACCTCAAGCCAGAGACTCTGGTGAGGCTGCCTCCCCAAGGCTCTGCCAAGGCCACCCAACTGGGGAATCTGTTCTTGGGGGCTCAAGAGGTTCCCCAGTCAGTCACCATGCCTCATGTGGCCAGGGGTGACCTTGAACTCCTGATCCTCCTGCCTCTGCCTCCCACAGTGCTGGAATTATAAGCATGCAGTAAGTGAGGGCACTGATGTCTACCTAAACTAGTGTGCTCTTAGACTGCAAAGGGGCACAGTGTCTGCCTGGATCTGGGGTGCACATCTGTAAACCCCAGCCCTCGGGAGGCAAAGAGAAGAGGATTGCTACAAGTTCAAGATGAGGCTGGTTTATATAACCAGACCTTGTCTCAAAAAAAACCAAAAAATGTAGTACAGTGATTGTCTCCCCATGGTCCCTCTGGTACCCCGGGGAGGGAAGGAGAATGGTCTATGTGTTGGGGGCTGGGGGAGTGTGAAAGGAGGAGTGGGCAGTGGTGTGGCTTGGGATCCCAGTCCCTCACTCTCACCCCTGTGCCTCCTCAGATCGACTCCTTTGAGCTGCTGTACTATTATGACGAGTACCTGGGCCACTGCATGTGGTGAGTGACGGGCCAACTGGTCTGTGTTCCAGGCACCAGGAGATGCTGGACAGGGCTCCCTAGATCCAAGTATTCCGTGGAGCGTGGGGAATGGCTTTCTCTGCTCAGCGGAGGTGTCATGAGTGGTCTCCCTGGAATGCCCCTTCAGGCTCTTCCTAGTGCCTCCTTCCTACCTGAAGTTTCCACAGTGGCCACTAGAGGGAAGCAAGCAGGTGTTTGTCCACCTCAGCCATTCTGAGCCTGGGGTTGGGGAGGAAGGACGGTTAGCTCTGACAAACTCTCTAGATGGTTCCTGATGGTGAGCAGGAGGCAGGTGGGGTTGTAGGAAGCTGAGAAGAGCCAGCAGGGCCAGGTTCGGGGGACACAATTTGTGTTCCTCATCTTAGAACCCCCAGGGGAATCTCCCCACCACCACTCAGGAAAATGTCAGCCGTGTGGGGTCCGAACCAGGGACTCAGGGCTCAAATAAGGGTTTCCTCTGCCGCCCCTTGTCCTGCACTGGGTAAGCTAAAGCCAGAGAGAAGAGATGAGAATGGCTGTCAGCTAGGGGGTGGCGGGCTAGCCTGCACTTGGGTGCCCATCCGGACTGGGGTGCTTCCCTCAACACACGCCCAGCACTGATGTCTGTGGGTCTGTCTGAGGCTAGGGAGGTTCATCCTCTTGGTTCAGAGGGTCCTAGGGAACATCAAAACAGGCCTCTTGCCCCCTCTTTCTGACTTTACCAGATGACCCTTCGCATTGGAAGCTGGGAAAGGAGGGAGAAGCAACACATCCTGGGGAGCTTGGGGGAGTGGGCGAAGAACTGAGTGTAGGGGCGTCTTGTGTGTGTGCAAGAGCATGTGAGCATGTGTGTGTGTGTGTGCACGTGTGTGTCCTGGAAGGAAAAAGGAAGGCCCTGTGTGGGGAGGAGAGAAGCCATACCCTCCGAGGAGGTGGGGACTGTCGGCTGAGTATGAGGGCCCCACAGCTCTCCTGGAGTTCCTCAGCACTGTTTCCCTCCAGCTGCAGCCCCGCTGGGTATCCCTACTTCCCAGCTAGTGTGGCGCTGGGCATGTGGTGGTGGAGGCACTAGATGAGACAGAGCCCACATCCCCTCATTTCCATGCCGAATGAAGGACAGGGTGGGCACAGGTCCAGGCAGCTTCACCTCTGTAGTAACTCACGGGAGCCGGGGCTCTTCTCTGCCTGAGCTCCGCCTTGACTTCCAGGCAGAAAGACTGGACGGAGAGCAGTGTGCGCGCCATGGTTTGCATAAGCCACATGGTGACACTTTGTGTGACAGTGCAAGGGACCAGTGGGAAGGTAACGGGGACGGTCCCTGTCAGCCTGTAAAGCTGCTGCCTCTCTGTCGCAGGTACATTCCCTTCTTCCTCATCCTCTTCATGTACTTCAGCGGCTGTTTCACCACCTCTGGGGCTGAGAGCCACATGCCGGGGCCTGCCCTGCTCCTGGTGGTGCCCAGTGCACTCTACTACTGGTGAGTGGGCACGTGGGACAAAGGGCACAGCGCTGAAGGAGCCACCACAGCAAAAGCCACACATGAAGTGTTGGGTGTGATGGCACACTCCTGTAAGGCCAGCATTTGGAGGTGGAGACAGGAGGATCAGGAGCTCAAGACTAGCATTGGTGACATAATAAGTCTGATATCATGATGGGTTATATGGACCCTGTCTCAAAAAGAGAGAGAAAGAAAAAATGGTCACACTTGACCACAGACCTGCACTGTGACCGCAGGTAAGACTTGCCATCGGCAGGCCGCTGCTTCCCCCTGGGTTGTGTGAGGGCGGGGCCCTGGCCTGGTTTCTCCCTTACCAAGAGTCTCGGTGTGAAATAGACAGTGAGAGATGGCAAGGCTGCCTCTTTCCTCTGTACCACCTCCCGTGCTGGGAGAGCCACCCTGAGGCCAGGAGTCTACCTCGAGAGCCATGTGCTGTGAATCCTCCTGATCCTCAGTTTACCCCTCTGAACCTGTCCCCTTCTCAGGAGATGCTGGGATCCAGTGGGGAGAGAAGAGCCCCATGGTGACAAGATGACTGAGCAGCGGGAATTTCCCAGCCAAGTGCTGCCTCTCCTGTTGCTTTGTTCTCCTCCTGTTCCCCACTCAGGCCTCTGCCAGACCCTTGTTTTCCCATCATTTCTTCCTTGGAAACAGATCTTTCTCTCTCACACACATACCCAGAGGACTGTGGGATTACGGGAAGGGCCAGCAGTACTGGGCCCTCTGTAGATGGGAAGCCCCACCATATGAAAAAGGCCCTTTCTTCCTGTGCCAGCTCCAGCCACTTCAGGGCCTGTGCCTACGAGAGGGCCCATTACAGCTAACCTATATTCTCCCTAAGGGTAGGACTACAGATAGTGGCATTTATGCCAGAGAGAGAGAGAGAGAGGGAGGCTTGACCTGGGCATGCTCACTACCACAGTCTTATCTTGACATGTCACTGCCACAGTGATAGATCCACATCTGTGCACCATTCACCGAGCAATATGCCTTCCCAAGTAAGAGATGCAGACAGCCCTTGACAGACACCTTGAGGGTTGGGGCCTCTTATGCTCCCCTCTTAAAGGAGAAAACAGCCTTGAAGTTGTTCAAGGTGGTCGCTTGATGACCCCCAAGGCCCCAGGCCACTGGGTTGTGGAGCTGGAGTTCCGTGAGTGAGCAGGTACCATCAGGACCGCCTAGAGGCAGACAGCGAGGGAACCTTGCAGAAGCCCCAAGTGCACCTGAGGGCTCTGCCCTCTGGAGACAACAGCCCTGCCTCCAAGGGAACAGTGCTGACAATAGCCTCTGTATTGATATGGCACTTCCAAACTCAAATGCTCCCAGAAACCACACAGGCAGCAGATGAGGCCCTGGGGACTAAGAACTGAGGGCCATGGGTCACATGGTGTTCTCTGCAAGGAGTGCATTCTCCTGCTTCTCAGAGCCAGTTTTTGTCATTGGAAGTGTCCTAATGTGGTGAGAAACGCCAGAAACCAAAGCCCAGGTATCCTGTGATTCTCAGTATGTATGTAGCCTTGCTGTGTGGAGACCATAGACCTGCCTGCCTCTGCTCCTGGGCACTGTGTAAGTGTGTGAGCCGCCACACCCAGCTGAGGACTCATTGTTATTGTTATCAAGCAGGGTCTCTCTGTGTAGCCCTGGCTGTCCTGGAACTCACTCTGTAGACCAGGCTGGCCTCGAACTCAGATCTGCCTGCCCAGTGTGGGGATTACGGGTGTGCACCACCACGACCGGCAGCAGGGAGTTACTAAAGCTTGCAAAGTCGAAGCAGCACGGTACCGCTGGGCTGTGGTTTAGACCTGGCCCGTGGGCTCCACTCACTCGGTGAGCCGTTCCGGTTGGCGGGGGGCAACCCAGGACTTGGTCCAGAGGACGCCGGGCAGGATGGCGTTGTCATGGCCCCCACTTCACCTCCACGCCTGTCCTCTTTCTCCAGGTACCTGGTCACCGAGGGCCAGATCTTCATCCTCTTCATCTTCACCTTTTTTGCCATGCTGGCTCTCGTCTTGCACCAGAAGCGCAGGCACCTCTTCCTGGACAGCAACGGCCTTTTTCTCTTCTCTTCTTTCGCCCTCACCCTCTTGCTGGTGGCCCTGTGGGTTGCTTGGCTGTGGAATGACCCTGTACTCAGAAAGAAGTACCCTGGTGTCATCTACGTCCCTGAGCCCTGGGCCTTCTACACTCTCCACGTCAGCAGTCAGCACTGAGGCTTACTGTGGGTACCAGACCACCACCGTGACGTGGGCCACCACAGTGCCACGCTGTGCACTGTGCACGCGGATTGGCAGGATACACCGTTGAGGGACTGGTTCTGGTCAGGGGGTTTAGGCTTGTTTGCTTGCTTGTACTTAGATGGCGTTCACCGTGAAGCGGCCTGCCCCTGGGCCCTAGGTTTCTAGGTCACATCTTCTTTTGTGCTTTGAACAGAGCAAATCCATCTCTGGGCTTTACCTGTTCTAGGGGGCTCAGTGGTCCCCACGTGGCTCTATGGACTTGGGGTTATGGATCCCTTTGGGGGCAGCCTCAGCAAGGAGAGAGGTTCTGTCTGTTGCTGTGTCCCACCCTAAGCCTCGGAGAGTCTGATCCTCGCAGTCTGTCCAACCTCCCATGCCGCTCACATGCTGTTTAGAACCCAGGCTCCAGGTCACTATCAGCTAAGCTCTTGAAGCTGCCATGTAGCTTTTGAGCTACATGGAAGGCAGAGCTCTCAAGTCCTTGTTTTAGGATTTCCTGAAACCGTTGTAAGGGTCTAGGACATTACAAGTCTGTCTCACAAGACAGCGCATCTCAACCTGAACCTCTTACCACCTGCCTGGTGCCTTGGTTCCCAGCATGGTGGCTCCTGCCTCTCCCCGGCCCACCTCCTCCCGGGCCTCAGACACAGGTCTCCTTGGCACAAGGCTCCACCACCTCCTTTTGCAGCCAGCACTGGCCTGTGCTGTGAGTCTTGGGGACACTCTGTGCATGGCCCTGCCTCTTTTCTGTTGTTCTCAGGGAACCCTGGGCCTCAGTTTCTCCTCTTTTGTTGTGGTCCTTCAATGGGCTAGGCCATGCTAGGTGGTGAGAGGTCTGAATAAAGGCTGATGTGAGCCCAGCCTGGCTGGTGGCTGTTTTTTGAGAGGGAGATGTGGGCTGAGGGGGAGACTGGTTGTTCTGGGGCCTAGGCTGCAGAGGCTTTCTCTTGGGGAAGACTTTGAGGGACCCCTACCCCAGTCATCTGCCTACTTCTCGGGCTGTGGGCAAGAAGGACCTCTTCCCAGTCAGTGAAGGAAAGTGGAGCATCCCCAGGCCTGGCCCAGGAACGTCCCACCAGCCTTCCCCGTGCCAGGAGGCAGTGAGGAGCTAGTTCATGGAGACGGCCCAGAGCCACAGACAGGTTGACGGCTCGCTCGGAGCCTGAGCTTATGTTCTCAGCCTGGCCACACCTCACCAGAGCTGTGGGTAACATTGCTAAAAGGCACAGAGTGGGGAGCATGGCTATACCCACACATCTGTCCCCTCAGCTGTCATTTCAGGACTATCATCAGAAGGTCTTAGACAGCCATCTCGTAAGCAGGGACAGGCCTGGCTTGTGGGGCCTGAAGACTATCAGTTATTATGGGGACGGGAGCCCTTAGTAAGAAGGGAGGTGTGGGGTGTGGGCAGCATAGGACAGAGGGCAACCTCAGGTGTCCTTTAGGAACACTTTTCACCTTTCCTTTTTAGATTTATCTATTGTGTAGATGAGTGCTCTATCTGCAGGCCAGAAGAGGGCATCAGATCCCACTATAGATGGTTCTGAGCCACCATGTGGTTACTGGGAATTGAACTAAGGACCTCTGGAAGAACAGACAGTGCTCTTAACCACTGAGCCATCTCTCCAGCCCCTGTTCTCCTTGTTTTTGAGACAGGGTTTTTTATTAGCCTGGAGCGTGCCCATGAGGCTGGGCTCACTGGCCAGTAGGCTCCAGCTGTCTCTTCCTCCCCATGCCTAGATTATAAACAGGTGCCAGCACACTTCTGTGAATTCTGGGGGTAGACCTCAGGTCCCTGTGCTTGCAAGGCAAGTACTTTACTGGTTGAGCCATCTCCTCAGTCCTAAGAAAACATTTTGAAATATTCATCAAAGCAAGTATTTAGGAGTAGCAAGTTCCTAGAGCCTTGGGCCACCATGTGCGTCTTGGACGTTTGTCTAAGACTGTCGCCCTGGAGAGCTATCTGGATGGAGCCTGGCTTCATATTCCTGGATTTCTAGCAGGAAGCTTCTAGAACATATATTCCCAGACTATGTCATGTTGTAGGAGAAAGCAGAACTAATCAGAAACCGGAGGCGGGCCCTGCAGGCCATGCTGATGTGGCTCTTTTGGGGACCACCACTCCAGGGTCTAACTACTCACTGTGGCTCCAGACTGCAGCTACAGCTTCTTCTGGAAACTTGGGGCAACAAGGCATCTTGACTTTCCCAGTTGTACCTAGAAGGACCCTTGAGGCCCCAGCTCCATGCTGCCCAGGCACCGGTATGCTGCCCAGGCACCAGTATGCTGCTCATGTGGTTTTGCTAGGCAGCTGTAATGAACGTGATGGCTGAGAACAGCAGGTGTTCACCAGCTCAGTTCTGAGGGTGACTGTTGACAAAGTTGTGTTCTCATGGGCTTCTCTGCATCTCCCAGCCTATGGTGGGACCCATGCTATCCCACATGTTCTGGGCTGTGAGACCATTAGTCATGGCCTTCACTGTGGTGTCTGAATCCCCCTCCTTGAGTTAGGACCTACCCTACTCTCTCTGTATCACCTCATCTCACCTACATCCACAGACCCTACTTCCAGATGACGCCCCTTAGGCTGTAGGTAGATGTGGATTCCAGGGACAGTAGTTAGGCCAGGAGAGGCCTGAGCCGAAAGGGTACACAGGATGGAGGTGGGGCAAAGGCTGAAGGCACTTCTTGCCTTCCACACTTTACCCAGAAGGCACACAGGATGCCTGCCAGGCTAAGGCTCACTCTCTTGGCGTGGGGGTGGGAGGTAAGGACTGCCCTGTCAGCCCCCAACTGTTTGAGAGGCAGGGGCCCTTGGCCAATAGAGCCTAGCTGAGGAACACAGCTTCACCAGAAAGAGGCAAAAGGAAGAGCCTGCTGTCCGTGTCGCTTTTGAAGGCAGGATTTAGGGAGACAGGGTTGAGAAAGGACCCAGCAAAAGTTGGTGATGCCCAGGGGAGGTGCTGGCCCCTGGCCAGGAGGTCCAGGCGTCAAGAATGACGGGAGTGCACTCAGCCCACCTGGTGCTGGAGAGGTGTTCTGTGGCATTTCACAGGGAGGGTCACACATGTAGAGTGCTGTGCAGCCCGGCAGCCGGCACCGTGAGCCCGTGCTGTCACAGCCTTGGAGCAGGTGTCTGGAACTAGCTGAGACAGTATGTGAGACAACCCACATGTTGCCTCCAAACAGAGGGAACTGGGTGTGGTTGCAAATACCTGACGTGTGTGGGAGGTGGAGGCAGGAGGATCAAGAGTTCAAAGTCATCCTCAGTTACACAGAGAGTTTGGGGGCAGCCTGGGCCACATGAGATCCTGTCTCAAAACAACAAATGGGTGCCGGAGAGGTGAGTCAATGAACACTTACTGTTTTGGGAGAGGGCCTGAATTTGGCTTCCAGCATCTACCTGGGGTGCCTCACAACTGCCTGTAATCCGGCCTCAGGGGATCTGACCCCCTTTCCTGGCCTCTGCGGGCATCTGTATTCACATGGACACACAAACATGTAATAAAAAGTATATTTTAAAAATGCTTTTCTGTCTGCTGGCAGCCATCAGATGAGTCAAGCACAGGCTCATCTGCAGCGGCTCTCAACCTGCGGGTCACGACCCCTTTGGGCTTGCATGGGCCACATATCACATATCCTGCATATCAGGTATTTACATTGTGATTCCTAACAGCGGCCAAATTATAGCTATGAAAATAAGTTTATGGTTGGGGGTCACCACAACATGAGGAGCTGTATTGAAGGGTTGCAGCAGCCATGCGCTTTCTTCGGGGGCCCGCTGCTTGCTGTATCACCAACTCTGTGCTCCACAGCCAGGTAAAGCAAACAGACTGCTTTATGAGGCTAAGCAAAACGACATTCGAGGCAGGACTTCATGTTCATGTCCATCATGGTGTTACCTGGCTAAAGACTGCCTAGTCTTTTGTGGAGAGAACTGGACTCCGCTGCAGAGCCCTGAGGGTCCCGAGTTCTTCCTAGGCTGAAGGTTTCCCACAGACCCTTTGCGCTTCTCTCCCCTTATCCACTCCAGAAGTTACCAAAACAAATCCTAACACCTAGTAGGCCACCAAACCAGCCTGTTAGCACTGGGAGATGCCTGGGCTGCCATCTGCTAGCCACAGGAGTTGTAGTCTCAGGCAACAAAGTTCTGACTCATGCTACCCAGCTGGAGAAAGCAAAGAACTCTCCAGCGCCATTAAGCTGTAAGTAATGTAAACAATGCTTGCATAACATATCAATAAATGATTTAGGGAGACACACACACACACCAGCTTAAATGAAAACAAAGAAGGGAGAGTGGATGGGTGTCAGGATTTCCTTAGGCATACATGGCCGATCCTAGTCCACACTTACTGAAACCCCAGAAAAAGCCTTACCTGCCTTTGAGCCTACAAAGTTAGGGTGTCGGGGCCCCAGCTCTGTGCCTACAGGTCTCAGATTCCGGCCTACCTCCCTTATTCTCCTAAGGCCACTAAGCTGCACCCCCCAGCTGCTCCCACTCTCTCCCTCCCTCCCCACCCTCTCTACCCCACAGAGTTGGGTCAGAGTCTCAAGATTCTCAAGCCTACAGCGAGTAAGAAAAGGTGACTCAGGAAAAAACAAAAACCAAAACATTCCACTTGGAGGGGCCAGGACCAAGGGGAGGACGTGTGTCCACATGCCTCCCACGAGTTAATGGACCCTCATTTGACTTAGCAGGAGGCCTCATCTCTCTTCCTCCAGCAGCTGCAGCCTTTGGCACCCGCTTAGCTCCCTGTGTAGCACAAGCCTGTGTGCCCACACACAGTGACGGACAACTGCCAGACTGGACTCAGGGCCTTACAGGCAAACCAGCCACCAGGTGTGGTGAGGGAAGGAGACTTCCTGGCTAGTCTGAGAACGTAGTCATGCCCAGGGCCCAGCAGCAGTTCTGGGAGCCACCCATCTTCCTGTCTCTCAGGGGAAAGAGAGACACACAGAGTGCTGATAAATTCAGTCAGCAGCTTATACAGGAAGGGGTGAGACAAGGAAGGAAGAGAGAGGAACTTCCTGCCTCGGGAAGTCAAGAGAGGTCAACTCCAAGGCCTCCAAGCAGCTAGTTTAAGGGCTGGAGACCCAGCTCCAGCACCCTCCACCACTCCCAGCCCCTGAAGAGGTAGATTCTGCTGTGTGCTGCTCATTGGATTCTCCTGGCAGCCATAATGTGTCTGGTGAGGAAACTGAGGCACAGAGGAGAGGAACAAACAATTTGGATTCCAGCTGAGGATCAGTATGTCCCAGCTGCAAAGCCTCTCCTTTGAGCATGGCTCCCTTGGACAGCCTCTTCTGGAGAGACAGCGTGGGTGTCTGGCTCCAGCAAGGAGCCCAGCTTAGCCTCAGGAGAGAGAAAAGGGTCCCCAGACAGGCTCAGACCTGGACACGGAGTCAGCCCCACCCAGAGCCCCCTTTTCAGAACCTAGGCTCTCAGGAAGGGACCCAGACATTTGTCCTGTTGCTGCAGAGCCCCTGCCTCCAGGGGCAGGGACTTCCGGGAGAGTCTGCGCTGGTTTCCTCACAGTCAACCTTCTTAGGAAGGTGGGGGCATCCACTGTCAGAGGAGGCCGGAACCTGACCCTCATGGCACGGGGCCCAGTCTCCATAGCAGCAGAGGATTTATTACCAGGCCTCCACCCAGCCTGGTGGACTTTCGACTCCGAGCCAGAGGAAAGAGAACCAAACACGGTTCCAGGAGCAAGGGGTGCCTGAGGATGGTGAGTGAGGGGCTCTGCCGGAAGTAGGTGGGAAGGGCCCCTGCTGAAGCCCCCTCCTGACTGTTTTTTCTCTGCCGCAGGCCAAGTTCCTTTCCCAGGACCAAATTAATGGTAGGTTGGCCTTGTTCTTTAATTAGAAACTCCCCACAAAATGTGTCTCTCATTAGGCAATTTGCTTTGCTGGGTTTTGTTGGTAGGAAGGAAGGAAGGCCTGAAGGGTGGAGAGCCGGCCCACCCACAGGCTTGCAGCCAGGTGCTGAGGGGTGGCTGGCTATCTGCTTGGGGTGGCCCTGAGATGGGCTTGCTGGCTTCCAGGGCTTGTTACATGTCAGCATGACTTTCAAGCTGGGCCAGAAAATGGAGCTTGCTAGTGCTCCCGAGAGCCTGAAAGTGGGTCTGGGTAGGAAGCTGGTGACAGAGAAAGACGTCGTAACTGAACCACAGACAAGGGGCTGGGGCTTTGTAGTCAGTCAGGGCTAACCCTTCGGGCTTTCTTTATGTGCTTGCTCTCTACAAAACTAGGGGCTCAGGGGCACCTCCTGCCTAGTTCAGCTGGGGCACCTTATTCTAAGGCTTCCTGCAGAGCAGAGGTCTGCTTCCCCAAGACCAGAAAGGCAGAATTGAGCTACAGAGTACTGGCCAAGACCTGGCCAGGGGTCTGGTGGCTGAGTTCCTGGCAAAGAGACCAGAGCGCAGCCTGGAGCCTTTGTGGACTAACCATATTTTCCCAGAGGCTATGCCCCTACACCTGCCCCAAAAAGAGGATGGAAAGAGGCCCAGTAACCTACTTCTCGTATTGCTGCTGAAATGACACCTTGTTGGAGAGCTAGAACTGCAGGTCCACAGGGCCAATGGGCGCTGCTGCAGGGCCGTGTCCACCAGGCTACAGGGCTGGCTTCTGCTTACCCCAGCAAGGATCCAGCCCAGAGATGTAAATGACCGGAGCTCGGTCTGGAAGATGAGGTGACAGGGATGTGTCTTACAGGCCCAAGTGGGTACTGTCTCCTCAAATCCTTAACTCTCTAGCCCCAAACCAAGCCCAGGACCAGCAAGGACAGGCAAGAGGACTTTCAAGCACAGAGCCTCGCCCAGTTCTGGGCTACGGGCTGGCAAGATGCCCCAGTATGTAAGAATCTGTACTGCTCTTGCAGAGGACCCAAGTTCCCAGAACATAGGGAAGGACTGCTCACAACCACCTGCACCTCTAGCTCCCAGGGCATCTGACCCCCCTGGCCTTCTTGGCCACCTGTACTTGTTCATGCAGGCACAATGGAAAATAATGTCCTTGAAGGGAGACCTAAGTTAGACGCTACCTGTCAGCCCCAGCAGTCCCCTCGCCCCGCCCCTGTGCCCAGACAACAGACTCAGTGTTCCTCTCTTCCATGGTTTTTGAAACTACTAGAAAGGAAGAAGACAAATTTTCTTTGTATCCCAGTGTCTGACACCAAGAAGGTGGCCATTAATGTTTAGGGGCTGGAAGCCTGGATTGGGATGGGAGAGGAACAGGGTCTTTGGAGACCGCCTGGCAATTCACCTTTGAGCCTCAGTTTTCTCATCTGAAAAGGAGGGACACTGATGCCACTTTTGGGGGCTGCTATGGGCTAGGGACAGAGGAGAGAGCGCCATCACATGCTGGACACTAGGCATGAGAAGTATACTTTCAGAAATTTTATAAGCTGATAATTAAAATAGAGCCTTATTCAGCAGGGAAGGTGCAGACCATGGCCAGTGTGTGGGGAAAGCTTAGGAGACATTCGTGCTGTCATGGCACACAGAAGGCCCTGGGTTCAGCCCCCAACCCTACATTAACTGGACATGATGGTGTTTCCCTGTAGTCCCAGCATTCAGGGAGGCAAAGGATGAGAAGGCAAGGCTAGCCCGGGCTGCGTGAGATGCAGGAAAGCAAGCGGCTTCAGCTTAGTGACTGTAACTTACACCATGGTGAGGAACAGTTTATTAGAGGGTCCCTTACTGGATTTAGTAGAAGTCATTCTTTCGTTGAGTTGAAGCTATGGGTTATGAATACAAGCGTGGGCAGCGTTCACCCGCAATGGTCAGCTGGGTGGGCAGAGTTCAGAGTGGAGAGTGTTGCATATTTTATTTATTTTTTTAAATAATTTTATACACTCACTTGTATCCCAGCTGTAGCCCTCTCCCTCTTTTCCTCCCAATCCTCCCCTCCCTCCCTCATCTCCTCCCTGCCCCCTTCCGAGTCCACTGAGAGGGGGTTTCCTCCTCTCCTTCCGTCTGGCCTTAGCTTATCAGGTATCTTCAGGATGGTTGCAATGTCCTTATCTGTGGCCTAGCAAGGCTTCTCCTCCCTCAGGGGGGAGGGGAAGCTCATGCGTTCATGTCAGGAACAATTCCTGTTCCCCTTACTAGGGCATACTTTATTATGTGTGAACTGTGCACTGCACATCCTTTTAACCTGTTAGGTGCATGGTAAACATGTATGAACGTGTTGACACAGCTGTTACATCATTCTCCCACACAGGGCCTCCAGCACACGAGAATGAGGCCTGGAGAAGGTCTCTTTGGGAATCTTTTAAAGATTTATTATGTATACAGTGTTCTACCTGCATGTACACCTTCATGCCAGAAGAGGGCACCAGTTCTTGTTATAGACAGTTATGAACCACCATGTGGTTGCTGGGAATTGAACTCAGGACTTTTGGAAGAGCAGTCAGTGCTCTTAACCTCTGAGCATCAATCCAGTCCCTCTTTGGGAATTTTAAACTTGATGCATTTACCTCAGTTATTCTTTTTAAAAATTATTTATTTTATATACATTGGTGTTTGACTGCATGTATGTCTGTGTGAGAGTGTTGGAGCCCCTGGAACGGGAGTTACAGAGTTTGTGAGCTGCCATGTGGGTGCTGGGAATTGAACCCGGGTCATCTGGAAGAACAGCCAATGCTCTTAACTGCTGAGCCATCTCTCCAGCCACCTACCTCACTTATTCTTTATTTCAGTAAAACAGTCCTTTTCCCGTGCTAGCCCTACCCCAGGTGTAAAAAAAAAAAAATCAGCAGTGAGATGGGAGATAATTTTTGGGATCCCAGTCGAGGAGAGTGAAAGACAGAATGAGAAGCAGTAAACGATGGGTGGGCTAGGATGAGAAGGCACAGCTGGGGGAATGTGGGGTTAACTGAAGGAGCAGGGTCCTCAGGCACTCCTGGCATGCCAGGGATCCTGTTATCCTGCTCTCACAGTGAGAAAAGACTGCAGGTATGAAGGACCCACAAAGCCCTGTGATGTGGGCTGTGTCCAGCAGCAGCTCCAGAAGGGGCTTCTGGTGCCCCGGGATCCCAGGGTTGTTAAGACCAGAGCTTGATCTAGAGGAGAGGTGAGAGGTGGCGGGCTTGGGGAGCTGGAGAGATGGCTCAGTGGTTAAGAGCACCTGAGAAAGGTTCCCAGCATGCACACTAGGCGGCTCAACAGCCACCTGTAGCTCCAGCTCCAGGGAATCTTGCTCTGCAGGTCTGAAGAGCTGGATGGGGTCTGGTGAGATGGTTCAGGGGGTGAAGGCACTGGCCACTAAGCCTGACAGTCTGAGTTCCATTGCCCCAGCCCCCGTATGGTGGAACCCCGAGAACCAACTCCCCTACAAGAGACCCTCTGACCCCGCCCCCATAACACACTAAACAACTAAAATGTACTAAAATGCTTAAGAAAAGGTGGATCTGTTGAGGCTGGAAAAGAAAACATGTCAGTTTTTGTTTCTGTTTTTCCCCCAGAGGCTGGCTTGTTTAATCTTTGCCCTAGGCCCCACTTGCCCGCATGGATGAATGCAAAGCAGTGTTGCCTGCCTGGACAGCTAGCAGATCCTGGTCCCTCCCATAAGCTTCAGCTCCTTGTTTGGAAAATGGAAGGGATTAGGGCATTAGGGCAGCTCACCCCAAAGAATCTGCATCTGCGGATCTGGAGCTTTCCCAAGCTCCCAGGTGGCTTGGCTTTGCCTCCAGAGGAAAGAGCAGGACTGCTCTGTTGGCTGTGCAGCCGCAGCCGCAGCAGGCTCCTGCCCAGGGATGAGGACCGCCGGCGCGCTGCGGGCCCGCTCTGCTGAGGCTCTGGGCACACTTCCTGGCGGTTCCACGGAGGGGTCAGGTCCCGCCAGAGCACAGCTTGAGAACTCAGGAGCCGTGCAGCAGTCACAGTGATCCCCAGAGTATCACCAGAGAACCATTGTCCTGAACTTGCTCCCAGAGTGGCTCTGCAGACAGAAGCAGGACAGTCTCATCATTTTGCAAAGCTTGCTGGGAGTCTGGCAGCCCTACCAAGCTCTCTTCTTGTTGTCTAGTCCTGTGTCAGCCCAGGTGCACTCCTTCCCGGCGGGGGGTGGGGGGGAGGGGGGGTGTATCCAGGCACCGTCCTGCAGATATACTGGACTTGAAGGAATTAAGCTGAGTCAGGTGGGAGGGTTAGCAGGATTCTCCATTTTTGGTGCTGAGTCCAGAGGGATGGGAGTTGGGGGCGGGGGGGCTTCTCCAAGATGGTTTTCAGCCAAACAGCCCTCCTTTACTGTGGGGCATGGGGCTATATAAACCTTGGGGAAATGGGTAGTGGTTTTTGCGGTGAATGTACATCATTGGCTGGGGCTGAGGTGCTGGAAATGCTTCATTTGCATGGAGAGGAATTCCAGGTGCTGGCTGGACATGCCTTATAAGAACATGGAGAGTTTTAAGTTGACACCTGATCACCAGGGCACACTACCTCTGAGAATGGCGAGGGTGGTGAAGGTCAGGGTCCCAAGACTACATGTACCAGTGCACACAGACCCAGAACAGGCAGGGAGTGGTCCTTACTCCTCCGGTCTCAAGATGAGATTTCTGGCTTTGGACACATCTCGACCTTGCTCTTGCTCCAGGCTGGTTCCAGTGGTCCCACAGCTCACTTGCCCTACAGTCCCAGAAGACAGCTTTTGAGTAGCATCTTAAGGAACAGAGAATGAGAGGAAGGGACGTTCCAGCCAGATGAACCACAGGACACCAGTGTGAAACTTGGATTTCAGATAAACATTCTTTTTGAGGGTGGTATAGCCCGTGTTAAATTTGATATATGGTTGTATGTGCTTATACTAAAAGCTAATTCAGTGGGGTCTGGAGAGATGATTGAGTGGCTAAGAGCACGCACTGCCCTTCCTGCGTTGGGTTCCCGTACCTGTGTAGGGAGGCTTACTGTAACTACAGTTCCGGGGCGTCTGACCTTCTGGCGTCTTTGGCACTTGCACACGTGTGGCACTAACTCGTAGAGTTAGACACATACAAAATAAATACATAAAAATAATATAAATAAGCCTCAACAATTAGCTCATCATGCCCGAATTCTGTTTAACTTGGTAGTTTTCTATTTGCACTACATTTATGTACCTATGTAGTGTGTGTGTGTGTGTGTGTGTGTCTACATGTACTGTGGATATCAGAAGACAATGTGCACAAGTTGATTTTCCTTATACCACATGGGTTCTGGGGATCAAATTCGGGTCATCAGACTCAGCAAATACCTGAACCAACTTGTTGGCCCCTTTTTGTTTTGTTTTGTTTTGTTTTGTTTTTGAGACAGTGTCTCATATAGCCTAGGCTACCCTCTAACTACTACATAGTGGAGGATAACCTTGGACTCCTGCTCTTCCTGCCTTCACCTCCCAAGTGCTAGGATTGCTGTTTCTATTGGTTTCTGGACATCAAGTGGGGCAAAAGAGGGGAGGAGAACAGAGAGTGGAAGCGCAATGTCAGGGTGCTTATATAACGTGTGCAAGGTCCCCCCACCCCCGTTCATCCCCAATATGGGGTGGGGGAGGGGGAGGTGAGAAAGGAATGGAAGAGCAGAGGAAAGGCAGGGGTGGCAAGGGACCACCTGCTCCTGACTTCCTTCCCCAAATGTGTGCAGAGTACAAAGAATGCTTCTCCCTCTACGACAAGCAGCAAAGAGGGAAGATGAAGGCTGTGGATCTTCTGGTGGCCATGAGATGCCTGGGGGCCAGCCCAACGCCAGGGGAAGTACAGCGGCACCTGCAGACTCATGGGATAGGTGAGTGGGCTGTGTGGGTGGGCTTACAAAGGATCCAGCAGGTGGTGGCCGTGGAGAAGGCTCAAAAGCCTGAGGTAGTGTGCCTCACCGGGACTGAATTGTAGAGAAAGCTAGCCATGTATACTGAGTTCCATCCCATGGGGACCCTGGTCTGATGTCCAGGTGTCACATCCCCTGGGAAAGCACACTAACATTGACAATAGTGGTTTCTTTTGTTGTTGTTTCTCTGCTTTTGTTTTGAGATAGGGTTGCATATAGCCCAGGCTGCTCTTGAACTCACCTTATGCTAGCTCAGGGTGATACTAAATTCCTGATCTTCCTGCCTTCACCTCCTGAATGCTGGGCTTACAGATGTGTACCGCCACACCCAGCTTCTACGTTTGGGGAAAACAGCCTTTTACAGGGTGTTTGGCAGGTGCTTAATGAAAACAGCCCAGTTGTGTGGGTCCTAACTAAACACTTCCTAAACAAAGGTGGTGTCCCAGAGCCAGGAAGGTGCCTGGGCTCTGGAGCCAATGGTGGACTCCAGATCAGAACTCAGTTCTTCTGATCTCATAGGCTGACCAAGAAACAGTTGCCTAACAAGACTGCCAAACTGGAAGGAAACCTACCCAAAGCATTACCAACCAGCCCTCTCTGCTGCTATCATTAAGGGTGATTTTCTTTCCTTTTTGATGGGAACATATGGGACTTTTAGAAAAAAAAAAAACCAATTTTTTTTTTGTTTATGTTTAGGAATTAAAAACTCAGGGCGTAATGTCTGACAGCAGGCTGCCTATGCTGGGCACTGTACACTTAGGAAGGAGGGGCTAGCGTAGAGAAAGGGGCATTTTAGGAAGCCCCTTGACCCGGATCCTGAGTCCACCCGTCAGCGTCTGAACCTCCGCATCCTCAGCTCTCAGATGGGCTCTCATGATCTTCTAGGGTCACTGGAGGGCATGTGGGCATCTCCTGCTGCAGGCCACGCCCACGGCACTGAAACCTGAGCTCTCCATTTCATGACTGAACGGGTGGGAGCTACACTGGATCCTCCTAGAAAGGAAAGGACACTCAGGGGGCATTCTCAACTCTTTTCGGCAGGGTGTGTGAGAGTTGAGGTCTCTTGCCATGCCCAAAGAAGAAGAGACTGAAGGCCACAGGAAGGTAGAGGGAGTGGGTAGGTGGAGACCAGGACTTAAGACTCATGTATCTTTGATGGGTCTGCTGGCTGCCAAGAGGAGACTGGACCAGGTCCCCCCACTTTGGAAGCACGGGAGGAAGCAGAGGAGGCGGCTCCGTCTGGTTCTGCACCACGAATCAACTCTGGGTTTCTGTCTCCTTTGAAAGCAAGATTGGGGGAGGGAATAATGACCATCGTGTCTTAGTTGTGTTATTGTTTTCCTGTTGTTATGAGAAAATACCATGACCAAAGCAACTTAAAGACAGAAGGTTTTATTTTAGCTTACATATCAAGGTAAAGTCCATCCTGGCCTGAAGCACCTGATCACATAGTCAGAAGGCAGCAATGAATGCGTGCATGTATCTTAGGTGAATGCTAGGTCTCAACCCACTTCTTCACTGATATGGTTAGGGGTTCCCTATCCTAGGGAATGGTGCCACCCACAATGGATGTGTCTTCACATCAAGTAACATCATCAGGATGATCCCCCACAGGTATGCCCCCCAGGAATCACCAAGATTCCGATCTGTTAAGTGATATTATACATGGTTACCAAGGATTGCTGGAAGGATAAAATGGAGACTTTCATCCTGTGAACGGCCTATGTAGGGTCAGAAGGAGCTGTGACTACTGCCTTGAGAGCTAGGTAGCTGTGGAGCTGGCTTCCCCACCTCACTGTGCTGTGTGGGGTTTCCTAGACGAGCACGGAGAGCTGGATTTCTCTACCTTCCTGACCATCATGCACACACAAGTCAAACAAGAGGACCCAAAGAAAGAAATTCTTCTGGCCATGCTGATGGCAGACAAGGAGAAGAAAGGTTACATCATGGCATCTGAGCTACGGTCAAAGCTCACGAAACTGGGAGAGAAGCTCACTCACAAAGAAGGTAACAGCGCCCAGACTCTGAACCAGCTGGGGAGGGCTAGGGTACTATGGGGGGGTGGGCAATGTTGTGTAGCCCATGGCCAATTGATGAATGGCCCAGAAGCTTATGAGCAGAATTCAAGCTGGCTGAGTGCTGGACTGGGGTTTAAGGCAGGACCAGAGGAGAGAGGCAGAAGTGGGCTAGATTAGAGGATCAGCCCAGAGACAGCCCAGTTGGAGTCCTCTGAACAGTGGAGCCTGTTTTCATGTGACCATGGGGCCTCTGTCGGGCTCTACTTTGCCGGGGAGTGCAGCCCAATACAAAATCCTGAGCTTACTTTTAACATCGTAAGTTTGTTTGTTTGTTTGTTTGTTTGTTTTAAGAACTTTACTACGTGGTTGCCAAAAGTCAACTTGGAGGGTGATAATGCTGTGTCCCAATCAAAAGGGCATAACAGGGGCCAGGCTAGAGAGATGGCTCCTTGGGTAGAGTTTGCCCCTCAAGCCTGAGGACCTGAGTTTGGCTCCTGGGAACCCATGTGAAGTAGCTGGCCAGGTCTGTGGCTGCCTGTAACCCCAGCTCTCACTCAGGGGAAGACAGACGCCAGAGCAGTTGGGCTACACTAGCCTGAGCTGTGTGCTCCAGGTTCAAAAGCAGGGAGCACAGAAAATAGCAGCTGTCAGCCTCAGGCTTCCGCAGATAGGTGCCAGTGCGCCTCCACACAGATAAACAGGAATACACGTTCACGCTCAAGCTACGTGCACTCAGAGCTGGGGCACCACCGGCAACACAGGGGCTGAGCTGATAGGAGCCAAGTGGCTCTTGAGTAGAGCTGAGGCAGAATGCAGAATCCAGCACCCCTCCTTTCCAGGGCCATCCTCTTTCCACAGCCACTGATGGTGTCTCCAAACTGAGAAGCCATTGTGCTCCGGCCCCCAGTAGCCTTAGGATTGGGGTGCGGGAGCTTTTAGGGCACAGCTAGAGAAACCTGCTCTGGCCCCAGAACATAAGGTGGTCTTGCTTACGACATTTCTTGTCTCAGAGCAGGATGAGGGCCTGGGCCATTTATGGTGTGTTTCTTCCTAGCTTGCTGTCTAGCTAGCTAGCACAACTGTGAACCACGGCCTGCCCCTCGTCAGCATCACAGATTTCCAAAGCCAGGGTTTTCAGGTTGGCTGGCCAGCTTGCCTGCGGTCAATTGGAAGGCTCAGCTTAGGCGTAGTGGCTTGAAAGGTCCCAATGCCCACTGATGATTAACTTTTGGTCAGATTACAACTAACAAGTGCAGGTTTCAGGTTGTGGTATGAACTGAATCCAGGCCCTTTCTTCAGGGAGCCCTGGGATGCTTCTTTCCCATGCTGTAAATGAGGTTGCAACAGATATCACTGGGGTATTGCAAGAGCTAGCATTCTATGGAGGTCTGCCCTCATGAAGGTCCTGAGCAAAGCCTTTAAATATGGCAGATTGCTCTCCAGCACGTTTCCGCTGGCAGCTTTTACTGCATCTGTTTGTGAAGGGGGAACACTGTCTTGGACTTCATGGCACTGCTGGTGGCATGTTCTCTGAGGTGGTTAGCAGTGACAGCCAGGCTCCTAGACTTCCCTCATGTTAACCAGCAGAGGATACTGGGAAGGAGCTGATAGAGTGTTTTCCCTCCTTGTTACAGTGGAACACAAGGTACCACAAGTAAGAACCATTTCTTCTGGGTATTCTGAAGAAATGTTCTATTGTTTGGAAGCACCCTTGGCACACGTAGCACCCTGCTCAGCTACCACCGGGCTGGAGTGCTGCCCCCTTCTGGTCAGCACCAGCCCAGGGCGCACTGCCCTATTCTGGTCTGTCACTGAGGCTGGCGCAGATACTTGGCCTGGCCTCAGTGGCTGACAACCAACCAACTGGCTGGAGGTTAGAAGCTTTTCCATGAAATAAAGTAAGATGCAGTATCTGTCTGTCTTCCTGTCTCTCTCTCTCTCTCTGGATCTTACTATACAGACCTGTCTAGCCTTCACCCACCTACCTACCCATCCGTCTATCCATCTGACAGGAACTCTCTATATAGACCAGGCTATCCTCACACTCAGAGATCCACCCATCTATCTGTTTGTCTGTCTTACAGGAACTCACTATATAGACCAGGCCAGCACCCATCCATCCATCCATCCGACCGGATCTCACTATATAGACCAGCTGGCCTCAAACTCAAGAGAGCCACCTGTCGCTGCCTCCAGAGTTTGGGGATTAAAGGTGAACACACCACCATACTTGGTTAAATTAGTATCTTTTAAAAAGCAATTCTGCTTTCAAAAATATTTTATTTGGCACGTGTGGTGGCACAGGCTTTAATCCAAGCACTTGGGAGGCAGAGCAGCCTGGAACTCACCAGAGCTCAGCCTGCCAGTCTGGTCTACACAGTATGTTCCAGGCAGTGCTACCTTCTCAAAACAAAGAACCTAGCAGGAAAAAAGATTTTCTGTCTGTGTCAGTGCGAGTGTGTGCACATTTGCAACTGCCCTGGAGAGAGCAGGCAGTGGGCCTCAGATCCCACAGAACTGGAGTTCCAGGGTTAGGAGCGGCCCACAGGCACTGGGGATGGAATTAGGGCTCTCTCAAGAGCAGTACGTGCTCCTAACTGCAGAGCCAGCTATCCAGACCCGGAACAATGTAGTTTGATGCTTTTTACTTTAGATGCAGTTGGATTTCTTTTTCTGTATGTACACTGACAAGATGAAGAGTTCACATTAACGCTAGGGTCCAGCTCGAGTCCCCGATGCTCACTAGCCATGTGCTCCTTTTCTCCTTTTACCCATGCAGCTTTTCTGCAGCAAGGGTAGAGTAGTGGACCACTGTCACCCAGTATTCCTTTGGCAGGGGCCAGTGAGGGAAGAGGTGCACTTCTGTGGAGGTGAGGCTGGACCAGTGTGGCTGTGTCTGCAGCTGTGGATGATCACAGTGTGACTGGGAGGTGACAAGGGTGGGCTGCACAGGTAAAACATCAGGCTAAAGGTTCCTTGAGAGACAGATACAATGGCCAAATGTCTCTTTAAAAGAAAGCCCAGGGCTTAGTGCTGGCTGCCAAGCCCAGCCACCTGGAACCCCCACATGCTGACCGCCACACATGTGGCATGTACAGTACCCCTCCCCCAGTGAAGAAATAGATGCTAAAAAAAGATTAAACTCAGGCACAAGGCAGCCTCAGTTACTGAATCCCCACCAGCACACTCTGTGCTCATATCCTGGACCCTGCAGAAAGGAGGAAAGTTCTAGGGTCTTGGAAGCAGGTTGTCCTTCTGTTTTGGTTTGCGACCCAGGCCATGGAAACAATCCATCAGATTTCCTGGGAAGACTTCTGGGGACCCCCAACCTCAGCAAATCCACACTGAAACATTAATGTGATTTATTGCAGTGGATGATCTTTTCAAGGAAGCAGGCATTGAACCAAATGGCCAAGTGAAATATGACACATTCATCCAGAGGATCACCCTTCCTGTGCAAGACTACTGAGGTCAAGCTGAGATCAAGGGAGCAGAGCATGGGGGCCTCCTGGGCCTGAAACTGGAAGTCCAGCAATGGCAAACACTGCAGTGAGTCCACAATCAGTGCAGGAGATGAAGTAGCAACAGATGATGCAGCCATGGTATACCATGCCTGTAGTAAAAGGTCCGTATTGATTTTAGTATTCGCATTAGCCTAGCTCTTTGCAGCATGGGAGGGGGGCCTATGATTGGTAGTCAGGTTTGTGTATCAATGCTGGCTCTGCAACGTCATTACCATCACTTTGTTTGGGGAGACCACTGTACTTCTCAAAGCCTTTGGGCCTTACAAAGATGAAGATCACAGCTTGAAAATAAATGGCTGGCAACTTGAGAGCATGTGGAATTGGCGTTTCCATGGTAGTGGTGTTTCTCTAAATGAGCAGTCTGCTAGAAGACTGGTCTGCTTTTGGGTGCAAGAACAATCTTCAACATTTCCAAGATAAAGCCAGGGTTGGCTGGGAACCAGCAACAAGCAGAGTGCACCCACACACAGAGCAACAAGCACAGAACACAGACACACAGAGCAACGAGCAGCGTGCACACAGACAGAGCAACCAGCATAGAATGCACACACAGACACACCCATTTCTTGTACCTCTACAATCCCACTGATAAATCATTTCCTTCTCACCAGCCAGACCAAGTGCAGGAGGCTTTTTCATAAATAAGTATAATGTGAAACACATTAGAGTGAGCGTAGGATCAGCTGAGCAGTGGGAAAAGACCCAGCTTTACATCCCACGCCAAAGGGAAGTGGAAGGCAGGGCCCCATCACCACCTTAGAAGCCTTGCAGAATGAGGCAGCCTCTCTGATGCTCCTGGCAGTTTGCTCAAGCTGTGCCCTGGGCCACTGGTAGGTTCCAAAAACTATGATGGTTTGCTCAAGTGACCTGGGGTAATCCTGACTTCAAGACACTCTCTTGGGACTAACAGAATAATGGGGGTGTATGAGGCCATGGCCAGAATCTGAGAGGCTCTGAAATCAACAGTGGGAACCAGTGCCCCAGACAGGAGAACCCGGGCCACCCACAAGACACTCCAGCATAGGCAGCGTGCAGAGCTCTGAATATGAAGACCTTCATTCCTTTGTGTCAGGACTGGCTGTGGCTGTTCCTTAAGTGAAGGCAGGAAGACAAAGCAAGACACACATGCCTTCTGGGAAGTTAGACCAGACACATATCTTTCACCAAGGGCTCTGGGAACACCAGAGGACCAAACAGAGCAGTCTTGATTCACCTACCTCACATCTCTGGACGACTCAGACCAAACGAAAGGCCTGGGAAGAGAGGGCCTCATTTTCCTGGGAGTAGATACTATGTGTTCCCTGATTAGCTTGATTATAAAAAAAAAAAGGGGGGGGGGGGTGGGGGGGGGGGGTGCTAGATAATAGAGGCACAGCCCTTCAAACAGGATTTTGGTTTGAGGCCAACATGAGGTACAAAGCAAGAGCCTGTCTGGGAAACACAAAGATAAAAATGCAGAATTTCTGGGCTGTTCTAGGGAGCCTAAAGGAAGCCAGGAAAAGTGAGGGAAACATACAGTAAAAACTCCATGACTCCCATGGCAGTTCCTGCTAGGGGAAGCTTCTTCAGACACAAGGCTGCCATTTCCCTGCTGTGTGGGAAGGTTCCAGACTCCCAACACCTCTGACTTGTCATGGCGTTAGAATCCAATCTGCTCACCAGTTTAGAATACCAGAGATCTGACAGGCGTTTCATGCGGACAGTGTACATGGGAAAGGGTGGGACATGGTGAGGAAAGAAACTGCTCTGGTGTCTGTCAGAAATGGCTTTTTCCCCCCCTTAAAGAGAGGATCTCATGTGTCCCAAATTTGTGGAAGATATCTTTGAACTCCTGACCCTCCTGCCTGTGCCTCCTGAGTGCTGAGATTACAGGTGTGCACTATGCCTTTTATTTGATGATGGGACTGAGTCCAACGCATGCCAGACAAGCTCTCTGCCATATAAACCAAAGCCTTCCAGTGTAGGCTTTGCTTGTTTTTGTTTTGTTTTCCTTGGCTTTTTGGAGACACGATTTCTCTGTGTAGCCACTGCTGTCCTGGACCTCACTCTGTAGACCAGGCTAGCCAGGAGCCCTCAGAGGGTCTGCCTGCCTGTGTGCTCCACCAGGTCTGGCCCCAGTGCAGTTCAGAGCACACTGTGTGAATCTCACCTGGGGAAGTGATCTCCAGCACAGCTTGAAAGAGCACTTGGCTAGTGGGTATTCTGCATAACCTGGGCTGTTCTTCCCCACTCTTCTACTCATGGGTGGCAGGTTGAGCTCACACTCCTGAGTCCGATTTACACAGATACATCAGGAAAAGCTCTGCTGCCTCAGTTTCCCCTGTAATGCATTCCTAAATTCCAACAAGTTTACCTAGCACCCAGCTGCTCACTATAAAAAGAGGTGTTTTCACAGCAGATGGACAAGCACCTTTCAAATTTTAAGGCAAGTTGTATACCAATAAGGAGAGATCTCAAAGCATGATGTGAAGGTGGCAGTTACTTGTCACGCTTTGAAGCCTCTGAATGCCAGGGGCCCTGGGAGCATGCGGCACCAGCACTTTCTCATGGGGACTGTTCCCCTGTACCCAGCAGTAGTATTTTACAGAACACAAGTTAACTGAAGGCTTTTCTTTTATTACATCTAAAGAGCTCTACATAAACAGGTAAACATTCAATAGGGAAACAACTTTTCTCCAATGCATGTAATAAATATTTTCACTTGGTACTTTTATACAAACTGACATTGGTCTACTATACATTTTTAAAAGCCGTTTTACTGGTTTGGCATGCGGTATGGAAATTCTGAGAGAAAGTTTTAAGGCAATGAATCACAGATTTAAGTTCATGGGATTTATGGAAACTTGTCTATTTACATACATCTTCCCCGTGGTTAAGACAGCAGCAGCAGCACACCCTGGGGCCGCCAGCTCTTCCCCTTCCTCCTCGAAGTCTACCAAGCAGAATTCAACGTGTAGCCACAGAACACAGTTCTTACCAAAATAAATTCAAATGTGCTTTCAAGAGTCCTGAAGATTCTGGGAGTTTTATGTATTTAAAATTGAAATTGCTTTAAAAACTAGTTCTTTCTACATTTGTTCATTTACAATTGGGGTATGTTTTCATTCAGTTTCACACACTAGTCTCAAAGAAAAATTGACCAAAAACCCCCCAAAAATAAAAAACAAAACAAAAAAACCCCCACATTTTGAAAACTTAAGTGATTCTTTAAGTCAGTAATGTATAGCATCTAAATTAGCAATGGAAATATTTCCAGATTCGACCAAGTATGCATGGTTAGGTTTCATATTTAAAAAATGTGTCCAGCAATGCCCACAGAGAAAATTAAGAGCCACCTCCACCCTGCTAGTTGAACAGCTACTTTATTGATGATGTGTGCTTACAGAGAGACGGGGCACACGCAGCACTGCACAGAACACACGTGTACATGCTAGTACTAGAGACTACGGGGCTCCCGGCATCCTGCTGAGAGATGCTGAGAACAGGCTTTGTCCACAGCCTTTCCAGGTTGGCAGGGCTGGGGAGTGAGGGCGGCCTAAGGAGAACAGTAACTACAACAAAGGGACAAAGTGACCATGCGCTTTTCTCTTTTAAACGTAGGAGATAAAGTAGTGCACGACTCTAATAACTGTTGAAGACTGTGAAAGTCTCTTACTGACTTGACCACGTGCCACATTTTAGAAAGCAACAACTGAAGAAACGAAGACCTCAGGAAGTGGAATGAACTAAAATACGCAGAGAACCAAATGGTCCGTTCTCCCACGGAGACGACCAAAAGCCGCAGGACAGGGATTCTCCCCTCCCCCTCAGGTTGTCACAGTGCAGGCCAAGAAGGAAAACGGCCCCTCTACAGCTGGCTGAGGGACGCAGAGGGCTGGGCTTTCAACTCAATTGTTCTAAGTTTGTAATTCAGCATCAGACACAAAACCTACTGATCAGTGTCCTAAAACCACTAACAACAGTAACTAAAAGACAAAAACCCAAAACAAAACCAAGAAAACAGAGAACTATTCATTTTACCTCAGATAGTTAAAATAATAAGAAATGTTTTCTATTGCAATGTTAACAAAAACACCTCCAAATTTTAGTGGTTCCCACTCTAATCCCAATTTAGACACAAATTATGACCTTATCTGAAATGAGCCTAAATACAGCAATGAGAAATGGTAGAACGTGTCCTCATCATACCACCACATGAATTTAAAAACATAACTATTTCTGGTTTGAACTGACAACAAATGCCTTGTTTTATTGCAAATTGTTTTGTGACTAACACAGCCGTTTCTGTGTGGAACACACGTGCGCAGGGGAAGACGATGTTACTCACACACACTTGTTTATAAATACATATATACACACACACATATACATATCAACACCAACTTTTTCAAAATTCAAGTTGACAATTTAGTAGCAGAGACGCTATAAAACAGATATTATTTTTCGATGCCACACTGCCATGTGACCCCACACTTATCATACAACTGAAGATACAGCCTTGGCTTTTACCTGGATTAGTCTCGGCCCTAGTGTCACTGATGCTGGGTTTGAAAACACCTTTACCATACATAAAGATGGTCCTTCACAACTCTGAGAGCACGAAGTCCCTGGGAACTGGCAACGCCGTGCTCCTTGTGCCCCATCCCCCTCTGCTAAGCCCGAGCTCTCCATCCGCTCTGCCTGAGCTCCACTGTGAGAGCACGTCTTCTCTGCTGACTCTGAAGTATGAGAAGCACTTCCTTTGACCCTTAATCATCTCCTGAAGTTTTAGCATATTTACAAATTCTGCTATTGAGAGTAGGTTAAGACCAACTGATTCATGAATTTAAAAAAACAAAACCAAAACAAGCCGCTTCCTATGCCACACTTGCCACTGAAGGTGAAAGAAAAATAAACACGGATGACAAAGAAAGTATACCCAGAGCCAGGGACCAAAATAACTCAGGTTATTTTTTAGTTTCAGCTGTTTATCAAACAAATTTGCTAGGGACCCACACGTGGGCTGCACTGTACTGTCAGCCTCAGGGCTTCTGACTTCTTTCCTTTCTTCCTTCTTTCCTTTCTTTTTTGAGGTGGAACAATGTCCTCTGAGAGCCGCGCACGGCCCCCCACAGGGCTTCTGGGCTTTTTTCACATCCTACTTTGATATGCAGATCTTCAAGGAAAACTTGTGACCCTGCGACCAAAATACAGGTACTCACAGATGGGGCTGCCATATGAAATAGGGCGCTTCAGGTCTGAATCAGCACAAGTACACGGTCATTCGCAGGCTGCCCACAGGCTATCCAGGCAGCTTCCGCTCCAGCACTTCTGGGAAACACACTCTTTGGGGCTAGACAGCAGATCACAGAGAACCTGTATGGAGAACATGCATCTGGGGAAGTTGAGAAGATGCTCTCACGAGAGTTCAAGACCTCTAAAGCACTTTGAAAGAAGCAGGCAACTGATATAACTAAATGCAAACTCAGAAGGAAGGGACACAACACATACAGGCACACGGCGAACACACATACCCATGAGCGATGTCCCGAAAACAAAGGGAATGCAGCGGGATAGGTGAGAGTCATAACTTAAGGCGGTAAAATCCACGCACACACAAACAGAACCCAAGTCTGTTGCTTTTAAAAAATGGAAATCAAAACTATCCCAACCCCCACCCCACAAGGCCCACAATTTAAAACTTCATACATGCAATTCTGTTTCTGTTATTGCAAGTAAGATAATGCCATTTAAGTAAAATAAAACCCAAACCATAGGACAAATGGTGAAAAGTCTTCAGAATCCAGAAAATGAACTGAAGGAGGTTTGTGGGTGCTTGTTTTTTTTTTTTTTTTTCTTTTCTTTTCTTTCCTTTCTTTTTCTTTTTTTTTTTTTAAACAAGTGTTTTATCAGACAGGCAGTCTTAGATTTATATACAAAAGTAAAACTGAAAATATAGTTTTGTTCTCTGTACATTTCTTTTAATTTTTTTCCCTAAAAAAAGGAAAAAAAAAAAACCACACTTGTGTACTTTTCTAAACAGGATAAGGTAAAACAACAGAGCACAGCGCTCTCCTGCCAAGTCATTTAATGCGGGACGGGGTGGGAGCAGCAGGGCGAGGGCGTCAGTCCAAAGAAATAATGTCTGGTATGATGCCAAAGATGGATGCCGTGTCCGCGCTGCTCCTGCTGGCCACGCCATGGCCATGGCTCTCCCTCAGACTGTTGGAAGACACAAGGCTGCTGTTGCTGCCACTGCTGCTCCCATTGGTGGCTGGCAGGGAAGTGCCTCCTCCCGCGCTGAGCTGGTCAAGAAACACCTGCGAGGAGGTGTATGGGAAGAACCGGGAGGAGTGTAGGAGGTCCTGGTCATCCGAGACCGCCGCGGCCGCCGCCGCCAGCAAGGAGGTGTTGTAATGCTAGGAGGACCAGAGACAACACTGTTACGATCAGAGGCGCCTCGTGCCATCTCAGCAGATGAGGCCCAGGTGAGCATATCCTGAGCACCTGGCTCCTCTCGAGACAACACACTGCTGTCAAAGGACTGGTCACTGATACCGAGAGCGCTGTGGCTTGGCATCTCAAACTGGAATGACATTTCTGATTGTGTGTGCATGTGTTTTAGTTTGTACTGCCTGCAGTTCTGAAAACTCTATTTCTGAGGTGTTCAGAAACGACTAGTAGGAAGGAGAGCAGCTGCTCCTCAAGATACACTTCACATTCCCACCGGGAAGTCTGGCCTGCTATCACGCCCAGCTCACAGTTAGTTCCGTGCAGCCTGCCTATGCTCTCAGCACTGCAGGCACTGGGCGAACTATTTGTGCACAGAAGCATGCCTGAGCTGCAAAAGGCAGGGAGAACTTGCTGTAAAACACAAGCAATGTCACGTCTGTGTGGGGCACTTCCAGAGTGGAGTGTATGGGGCTGCACGTCTCTCCGGTCAAGGGCCGCTAATAAGCGGCTTGAAGGCTGAGGACAAATCTGTGTACTACTGTGGGCTTTACCAGCATTCCGTACTGAGGCTATTCTACATTCATTGTTAAAAAACTTCAAAGATTCTTTTTAAAACCAACCAGTTACGCAACAATTTTACTTAGCTTTCACAACATGTACTAATTACACACAAGAATGGGTTTCATTCTAACACTTTCACGTGTGTCTTTTTGTCCTAACTGCTATCTACTACTTTTTCTTGCTTCCCTCTCCCTGTAGCTGATCTCCTTCCTCTTTCCAATGTGTGTCTGAACGAGTTTACTCAGTGTTGCTCACAGAGCAGAGTCAACTTAGCAGTGGCTACACCACTGAAGAAAAACGTCTCCCCCACTAATCATTAACTGCCTACAGCTCTTCAACTGTGGACTACCTTATTCTTTATAACAACACTTAAAACATTAATACACCATATGGCTGTGCAAAACATTTTTTCTTCACGCCTATACCCTATGAGATCTAAGTATGTACTTTGCTAAAAAGTAAGGCAAATATACGTATATATAGTCTTTCTCTCCGCCTCCTCCCGGGTCCACACAGGCCAAAGGGTTGCTGTCACTATCTACTAGCCACATGCTGCTTCCTGGGAGCTTTCCAGGGCACAGACAACGCCAATTTCTGGATGCCTGACGACACACTTCAAGTCATCCTGAGTAGGTGCCATTTTTTGGAAACATGTTGCGATGCTTTGCTTGGTTTGTCCCTTTCTATCTGCGATGTGCTGGGGAACAGTGCACAACAAACACCCCCTTCTCTGATGTCCGTGCTCTCAAACACCTGAAGGGGATGCTGATGTTTGGGAGTTCCCACTAACTCCTTCATGAAACTTTTTGGGGGCTCCTTCTGTCCCCTGCAGTTCCTGTTTCTCTTGCCTGCTTTTCAGCTCCAAGGCTTCTACAACAGTTTCCTCAGGAACCTGTCTGGGGTCTCTTCAGTGTCACATAAGCCAACTTGGAGTTATTCACCACGACACTACAGCATCGCTTTGCAACCTCCTCACCTTTGGCAAATCTTGGTAATTTCTAGAGTGTATTCTCCAGATGCCCTCAGTTCTCAGCTACATCAGCTATAGCATATAAACTAGAGCTTGTTTATATAGCATATAAACAAGGCTATGATGCAGGACTGGTGCTGCCATCCATCCACATTCCCAGGCTTGTCTCCTCAGTGCCCCCGTTTCAGCAGGAGCTTGGACAAAGGTCCTTCTCAGGCAGTGGCCCCCAAAGGCTGCTAAGTCTCCTTGATCAGCCAGCAAGATGGCTCAGCAGATAAAAATGCTGGCTGTGTAGCCCAATTCAATGTGAACTCAATTCAATGTCTGGAACCTCTCCATAGAGGTGGAGAGGACTGACTCCAGGGAGCTGTCCTCTGACTTCCAAACATGTGCTGTGTTTCACCAATACACTGGGTGCATACACTAGCACTAAAAATTAAAAAATGTGTATACAGAGAGGGGCCATAGGAGGAGCTAAGAGAGGAAAAGGGTGGGTGGAAATAATGTAAATACAGCCGTGATTTATTTCTATTGGTTGGAACAAGAAAGAACGCCACTCTGACGAGAAGGATGTACACAGGCACATCGCTACTGCACAACATCTTGCAAGGTTTGCTACTCTCCCATCAGTGATCCAGCTTGTTACCAGGAAACTCAGGAGGGCATTCTGGACAGCAGCTGGATCAGGGCTTTAGCAGTGACAGCCACAGTACCAAGAAGGATGTGCTTCTGTGTCTGGGCTATCGTCCTTAGCCACTTCTTTATGGCTGAAACAGGCCTTTCCCAACCTGTGTTTGTCTCATTGTTTCTGATGAGACTCCCACCACTTTGTTCTCACTCTTCAAGTCTGTAGCTCTGGTGCAATGGGACAGCCTGACTGCGAGGAAGAACCACTGACTTCCTCCCTCCATTCTCCATGACCAATTGAAATTTTGTTTCTAGGTCACTGGATATGGCCTTTTAGCAATTCATTTTTACATTTAGGGTCTGAGATGACTAAAGCAACATGAGCTTGAGTCAAGCATGGGAGTAGATGAAGCAATCAGAGCAGTAAACACAGTGTGAGGAAGCACAGCATATTATATAACTGAAAACCAACAGTCATTTGCTGTTACTCTCTAGCATTCACAGACTAAACGTTAATATGTATGAGACACACCACTGGCAATACAGTAGAGACATAGGCTACAGCAGCTGTGGTGTCCTGGGCAACAGGACACTCTCACACATGTGGCCTAGACTGAACTCTCTCCGTCACAGCCCATTGTCCTGTGTCTTGACACAGCAGACTGAGTTGTCAGTGGGCAGAGCCTGCGCTACCCTTCTCTGGGGTGGAGGTAGTGACCAACGATGGCTTTACTTAAATTCTTACAGCCAGAGCAACACTAGGCATATGCACTCCACTTTCTAAGAAAATTTATTCTTTCTTCTGGCTATGTCTTATGCTTTTAGATATTTAAATATACAATGAAAGGAATGAATTGTTTTCTCATTGACATACCTGATTGTCTCCTGATAAGAAAGGAAAGAAATCTAATCCTGTGGAAAGAAAAAAAAAAAAATTAGCTCAGAGGAAAAATACAACAAAAAAAGAAGAGCAAACCTTTCTAAATATCCAGTACTTCAGTCTTATACCCCATGCTCTCTGGATTCGTATTTAAACACAAGGAATGCTGGATCAGGGTAGTGCACGTCTTTAATTTCAGCACTTGAAAGAGGCAGATCTCTTAGTTAGAGGCTAGCCTGCTCTACTCAGCAACTCATAGGCCAGTTAAGGTGACATGGAAAGACTGTCTCAACATACAAAACTCCTACAAAAAAACCTCCCTAAAAAACAACAAAACAAAACCATGCAAAGTAAGCTGGGTGTTCTATGGTACTTCCACCCGTATAAAGCCCAAGTTTTGGCAACAAGTACCTTGTTCTTACTTTCCTCACAAGTAACCATCTATGTGCCTGCCCATCTGCCCATCTGTTTAAATGGCATCTTATGTAGTGTAGGCTGGCTATAAACTATGTTGATTTTGAACTTCTTTTTTTTTTTTTTTCCTTTCTGAGACAGGGTTTCTCTGTATAACCTTGGCTGTCCTGGACTCGCTTTGTAGACCAGGTTGGCCTTAAACTTAAGGCATCCACCTGCCTCCGCCTCCTTGAATGCTGGCGTTACAGTAGTGCACCACTCACTGTACCAGGCAACTTTGAGCTTCTTAATCATGCCTTCACTTCCTGAGTGCTGGAATTATAAACTACCGTGTTTATTTGGTGCAAGGAATCAAACCCATTGCCTCATGCACACTTGGCAAGCACTCTCCACACTGAGTTGCATCCCTAACCCTAAGTAACCTTTCTATCTATTTACAGCACAGTGCCTCTTGGGGTCTTTCATTACTTTTGGTTTGATTCGAAGGTGAATTTTAAGACGCCATACAAATTGTAGCAAAGCTTTTAATTCTCCCTCTCAAAGTGTTTACGTCTCATCGTCTAGATCAGATTAAAACCCAAGGGTGTCTGTATGGCCAAGCATAGTGACACATGTCTTTAATCCATCCTGTCTTAAAGAAGCAGGAGATCCTGTCTTTAAAAATAAGTGTCTGGTGGCATCACAGAAAGCCTGACCCTGATTCCTGGCTGCAGGCAGACCTGACTTACATAATGGTTCACAGCACTGACATAACAAAGAGCAAGAAAATCAATAATCTCATGCTGATGACTAACCTTAAGGTACATAAGCAATACAATATGCTGGCAACTACGCCTGTCCACAGCAGAAGAGACTACAAGATGAAGGCCTACAAAATGGACCTCAGAAGTGATGTATGTGTAGAAACAGGGAAAGAAAGGTGTCTAGAAAACTGCTGGGAGTAACCAGTCTAAGTTACAGAGATACACCGAGAGCTGAAACTCCTTTCTGAGATAGGAATGAATATGGTGACATCTCAAACTCCTCTTAAAGGACGAGTCTGCACACAGCAGGGTAATGCCTGCTGGTGGGTATCTGTCACTTTGAGGACAGTCAGGACCATCTCAAAAAAAAAAAAAAAAAAGTCTCAATTCATCACTACATGAAACAATAAAACAGGACTGGCAAGATGTCTTACTGGGTGAAGGTACTGTCACCAAAGTTGACTCAAGTTTGATTCCTAAAATCCACATGATGGAAAGAGAAAGAATTCCTGTAGACTGTCCTCTGTGTCCACAAGTGTGCCTCAGCATGAAACACCTCCTAAATCTCCTTCTGCTTCTTTAAAGACAGGATCCACCAGCTTCTGCCTCCTGAAATCCAGGATTAAAGACATGTGCCACTATGCTTGGCCACACAGACACCCTTGGGTTTTAATTTGGTCTAGATGACGAGACATGAACACTCTGCGAAGGAGAATGGGCTTACAATCCTAGCTCTTGGGCAAGGGATGACAGCATGTTTGAGGCCAGTTTGGTATGCTATATGGGGAGCTCCAGGCCTATACCAGGGCTACACAAGCAAGACCATGTCTTGTAACACACAATGTCTGTTACATATAGCCACAATCAAAGAACAAAACCCAGCATTCATCACCATCAACCTCAAGGCCACATACAGGAAGTATCCCAGCAGCCTGCAGAACGCTGGGACGCTCAGACCACTGCCTCGGTGTTCCCACAGCAATGAGCTCTAGCTGCTGAGAAAGGTGCCAACAAGAACCAGGCCATTTCTCCTGGGATTCAAAGCCCTGTTTTCCCTACATCCACTTCTTCCCTATCCTCCACCCCCAGACTGAAGCCACACATAGAGTAAAGGCATGAGCCTATGTGACAGCAGCAAAGGACCAGGACTCACCTTGTAAATCATAAGGCATGGGCGTCATGTGGAAAGGGTGCCTGTAGTCCTGGATCAGGGAGGTGTTGATGTAGCTTGTATCTACAGCAGGAAGGCTAGGTGTGCGGGACACAGGTGATGCTTGATGAGGAAGACTTAAAATGCTATAGAAAGAAATATTTGGAAAACTTAAGTCACTTTAACACTTTAGCAAATCAAACTATCCCACGAGTCCCACATTTTATGATAAATTAAAAAACAACAAAACCAAACAAAAAGCAAAGCAAATGGTAAGAAATAACTTTGGTATGTAGCAGCATTTGTAGAGGAGATGTGATGCTATCACCACCAACAGTCCATGCAGTCCTTAGATCGCCATCCTCCACTCTTAAGAACACAGGAGTGATGCATAGCTGAGTCACCAAAACAGGACACAAATGAAAGGTACAACAAAGGAAACTTCAGTCCTTTCAAAGTAGGTACTGAGGGAGTAGGCAGTAAGAAGTCTAGGCAAAGCTTTTGTGCTGAACAATTTCATGTCAACTTGACCCAAGCTAACACCACCTGAAAGAAAGAAACCTCAATTAAGAAAGTGCCTCTATAGGTGGTGGTGCCCACTGGGCTGTGGGCAATCCTGTAGGGCATTTTCTTAATTAGTGATTGATTTGAGAGGGCCCAACTCATTGTGGGTGGTACCACCCCTGGGCTGGTGGTCCTGGGCTTATAAAAAAAGCAGGCTAAGCAAACCATAAGGAACAAGGCAGTAAGCGCCCTTCTGTGGCCTCTGCCATCAGATCCTGCCTGTTTTGAGTTCCTGCCCTGTTTGAGTTTCTGTCCTGACTTCTTTCAATGATGAACAGTGATATGGCAGTGTAAGCCAAATTGACAATTTCTTTCTCATCTTGCTTTTTTGTCATGGTGGTTCATTACAGCAAAGAGAAACCCTGACTAAGACACCCTGGTAAAGAAAACACAAACAGTGACAACTAGGGGAATGCAGCAGATAAGTACTGAAAAGAAAGCTGACTTAGAGCTGGCAGTGACTTTGGTGCACCCATGTCTAGCTTGGCTGGCAGTATAGTTCAGATATAGGGCTGCTGAAGCCATCAAAGCTGTGAGGCAAAGCAACAGCATGTCCCAAAGTAAAAAAGAGACAGGAGGCTGTTAAAGGGAGAGTGGTAGAACTGGAAGGGAAACTCCAGAAAAGCAGTGACATGTTTCAGCAGCTGGATGTCCAATCTTTCTCCTTACTTCCCTTAGGAAGAAAACAGGACACCAGGTGGTGGTGGTGCACACCTTCAATATCAGAGGCAGAGGCAGGCAGGTCTCTGAGTTTGAGGCCAGCCTGGTCTACAGAGTGAGTTCCAGGACAGCCAGGGCTACACAGAGAAACCCTGTCTCAAACAAACAAAAAAACCCCAACCAGCCAATCAACCAACCAACCAACCAACCAACCAACCAACCAACCCAATAAACAAAAGAGCGCCCCATCCCCTAAGACATGCTGGAGACATCCAGGTTTTATCTACATATTCACAGAGAAAGGTCTGGCATTCACAGAGCTGTATCTAGGCTCAATTCATCATGGGCAAATGCAGGAAAGTAGTTAATGCAACTAATATACTTTTCTAAACATAATAAACAGCTTTTTGAGAGGAAATATAATATAAACATGCAAAGAAGAAATATTAGATTTCTAAAGACTAAAAAATTTTCCTGATGAAAAAATATACTCAGTAAAAATATGTGACTATTGTGAAGAGTAGAAGGTACCATTCAATTAATGCCAGAGTATTTACACACCTGTTTTAGAAAGTATCTTCTGTGGGGCATGGTAGCACATGGCTCTAATCCCAGCACTCAGGGAGGCAGAAGCAGGTGGATCTCTGTGAGTTTGAGGCCAGCCTGGTCTACAGAGTGAGTCCAGAACAGCCAAGGCTACACAGAGAAACCCTGTCTCAAAAAAAAAAAAAAAAAAAAAAAAAGGAAAAAAAAAAAAAAGAGTATCTTTTCATTTTGCAATAATGGCACAAAAATATAACAATACATTTGTCTCCTGATGCCGGTGTGGGCCGGTTCTAGGACCTTCTATAGACATCCAAATCCCAGGTCGATCTTTGTCCCTCATGTGTTACCCATGCATCCCTCCTGGGTCTCCAGGTTCCTCAGGACACTAACTACATTGAAACTGGTTCTTTTTTTTTTTTTTTTTGGATGATGTCCTCTATTGTAGACTGGCCCCAAACTTGTGCCAGTCCTATGAGTGATGGGGTTATAAATATGAGCTACAAACCCCAGCGTCAAGGTACAGCATGATGGAAGGTTCCTGGGAAACACAGGCAACAAGCCTTCAAAACAGGGCTAACTGTGAAGAAAAGCCTAAGTCACTGCAGATCTTTCCTGGCAGCTCACATGTGTCTGCAGCCAAAACAATGCCCCGGTGCACACAGTTTTCTACTGTAAGTGCTCTAATTGAACTAACTTTATAGCTAGTAGGTTCCAGGTTTTAGCCAGAACCTTACAAGCAGACCAAAATGAAGGCTCATCCTTGTGGCTTCTGAATCAAACAGGAACTGTGAAAGGCATTTCGATGCACCTCCTCACATTCAAAGGAAGACTGGTCTTGTCCCCTTTCCTAGGAGCTGACACACCTGAAAGGGTGAAGTCTGCAGTGTGTGAGGACACAGAAGGTCATCAGAATGGCAGAACGGTCCAAGGTCACGGGAAAAAATGTATTATATACACTGAATACGTCCAGTGGGGAAGAGGATAGTGGCTCAGCTGTCCATGTGGCATGCTCTCTAGCAAGATGGCTACCACCAGGCTAAACTGGACAAAGAGTGTAAAAAGATCCTGGAAGGAAAGCCATGCCTCAAATATGAGAAGATACAGGGAAAGTGCATTTTTTTTTTTCTTCTGTCATTATATATAGCAGGCTGGTCTGGAACCCATAGAGATCCATCTGCCTCTGCCCTCCAAGTGCTAGGATTAAAGGTGTGGACCACCACACCTGGTCCAAGAGTAATTTTATTTACAATATTAGCCACAAATTTGTTAAATGAGGGCTAGTAGACTGCTTACAAGGTAAAGGCACTTGCTTCTCACTGTAGCAATCTTAGTGTGATCCTGGGACTCACACGGCAGGACAGAAGCAATTCCTGAATGAAGGTTGTTTTCTGACTTCTACACACATACACACAAAACAAACAAGTCTTTTTAAAAAAAGGGACTGGTTAAACACAAACAAAATTCTTCATGATCCTGATGTATCATAACTACCATATGTATCAGAATTATCTTTAAAAAAAACTGTGGGAGTGCGCATGCACCCTTGATGGCCAGAGGTGGCAGCAGGTCCCCTGGAGCTTAAGTTAGAGGGAGGTGTGAGCCACCATGTGGGGGCCGGGTGCTGAGCTTGGGTCTTCCGCAGCACCAAGCACTCTCAATTGCTGAGCATCTCCCTAGGCCCAGAAGCTTCTCTTGATAGGATGACTCCTATATCCAAATTCTTGTAGTACAGTACTTTTAATTCCTCAAAAAGCCCACGTCCCTGGAAAAAGTCAATCCACACTGCATTCAAATGCGACGTTCTATCTGGCAGCCGTTAGCCTACTTTCCAAATGCACTTTTTTGAGAGAGGTGTCTGGAAAAGTCCTAGCAGCACTCACCCTTTATTATTCAGTGGTGACGTAGGAGACAGGGAAGGACAGGTCCTCTTGGCGGAGGGTTCTTCTTCCTCCTCATCTGATGAGCTGTCTATGGTTAGGTCAATCACCTCCACTCTCTTGTTTTTATTTGAGGACTGGTTGTGTGAAGCCACCTGATGCTCCAATGTGGAGCTCAAGCATCCTGTGTGGAAATGATTCAAACACAAGGCCTACGTCAATTCTCTTCTGTTCTCAGTGTCCCCGTGGAGGTTCACACGGTCACAGCAACACTACCACAGCAAAGCGGAGAAGCAACAGTGTCTGTGTTCTACTTTCTTAAAACTGCAGTACTCCGAAGGCAAAAGATATCTATGAGTTCAAGGCCAGTCTGGTGTACATAGTGAGTTCCAGGACAGCTAGGGATACATACATACATACACACATACATACATACATACATACATACATACATACATACATACATAGATCTTGTTTCTCAAAAAAAGTGTCTTTTATGTCCATTTTAGAATAAAAGCAGATTTAGAGCAGGATGTGTTACGTTGCCTAGGAAAGCGGAAAGTCAAACCTATTCACACACATAAGTATTTAAAGAAAAAGCAGGTGGGTGTGATGATGCACACTTTTGGTCTGCACACTCTGAAGGCGGAGGCAAGTGCATCTGTGAGTTCCAGGCCATCTCGGGCTACAAAGTCACACCCTGTCTCAAAAGGACAAAACAAAACAAAAAAGGAAAAAAAAAAAAAAAAAGGAAAAAAAGCAGCGGTCACTACTCTGCACCGAGACTATTAAAACTTTTAAAAGAATAGATGCTTCAAAACGACAACTTTAAACATGACTTTAGAATATTTTGAAATCTAGTGCCATCAACATCTTAAGGCTGGCAAAAAAGTTGACTTAAAAAGAGTCTATCATTTCTAGACATTTAGTCAATAACCTAACAGTTGCTTGTACACTCAGTAAGACTGAGAACCCTGGCGTACCACAGCAGTAAGCAGCATATCTGGAAAGTCACTCACCGTCAACTCCGTTGAATGAGGCAGTGACTTCCTGCACTTCCTTTTTGGATCTCATCGGAGCCCATGAGCCGTCCTCCTTAAACTGTATCTCATCACAGTCTGTACAATACTTGAGAATCTCCATAAACAACCTAGACAAACAATCTGTCCTGAATACAGCATGTTTTAGATGAAGGGAATGAAACCTTGACTCTTACAATATTTAGGTCTTCTGTTATATTTAAGTAGTAAATAGAAAAAGAAAGCAAAGCAGACAAATTACATTTGTTCTCAAAACCTAATGCTAAGTAGGGAAAACAGTGGAACATTACTCAAACTGCGGAACATTTATATGAAAATGTCCTGTAACTTTGGAAGAAATGAAATTTAAAAACACTTATTTAGCTCGTGTTACAGGAGTAGGTGGGGCTACAGCTGCATATGTTGCGGTCAGAAGACAACTTGTAGGAGTTAGTTCTCTCTTTCCACCATGTAGGTGCCAGGCATTGAATACAGGCTCTCAGGCTTTGCAGCAAGCACCTTTACTCATTGAGCCCCAATATTTTTAAAGATACAGAAAAATATTCAGCTGGACGGTGGAGGCACACGCCTTTAATTCCAGTACGCGGGAGGCAGAGGCAGGTGGATCTCTGTGAGTTCAAGAACAGCCTGGTCTACAGAGTGAGTTTCAGGATAGCCAGGGCTACACAGAAAAACTCTTGCCTCAAAAAACTAAAATAAATAAATAAATAAATAAATAAATAAATAAATGAATAAATAAATAAATAAATAAATGAATGAATGAATGAATGAATAAATAAATAAATAAATAAATAAATAAAGCTTGAGATGGTCAAGAAAAAAAGAAAAATCTTAAAAACAAGATTCTGTGTGTGAGTAAAAACACACACTAGTATCCAGTTTTCTTCTTTATACTACAAACTTGCAAATTGCTCCTAAGACCTTATTTGATAAACTGAAATGATTCATATAAAAATGTATAATCAACAGTTAAATCCACACAAAATATATTGGCAATAAAAGAATATTTACAGGAATTTTATTGTGTATTTATTTATTGTGGCCAAATTATTCAGTCATAATATTAAATAAAACCAAAGCCTAAACATTATAAATAGCATATAATCAGAATTTATATTAAAGCTAAACAAGAAATTATATCAAAAATGACTTTTATTTCCTGTTCTTTACATTTTTTGAGAGAGAGAAAACTTTATTATAAGGAAGAAAAATTAAAAAAAAATTAAAAAAAGAAGAAAAGGAAGAATTAAGATATATACTACACAGAGCTGGTAAAGTATTAGTATTAATTTAAATTTATAAGCTATCATTTCATTTCTGAAAAATGCAACAGGAAACATACTATTTACTTATATTCTCCCAAGACCCGACATCTTTAAAGCTTTGGATTGTACGTCTATTGATAAATACGTTCAATTTCTTGTATTATTCCCTTCAGGCTCTTATGCTTTCTCATATACTCTAAATAAACTGTCTTGTTTGAGTGTTTCACTGAAGAATACTAGAAGTATTAGGAAGACATTTTCCCTTTCACAATTCATTTCCTTGTTTCTTGTTCAGTGACAAAAAGGCAAACAGAAACCTAAGGAAAGTGACAGACTCAGGGCCAGATATCAACAGGTCAAAACCCACAAACAAACAGACTATAAGGAGAACTGCTGATCACTGCAATGTAATGGTGAAGACAGGGGAAGAGACACAACGGGAGAAAATACAAGGATAGAAACACAACTAGCAGAACAAGGAGAGTTGTCATTAGCTGGCTGCCCTTTGCCGAGAGCCCTGACAGTGGTGATCAGGTCTTGATGGAAGCCAGATCTTGTTTCTAGAAACTGGCTACCTTCTACTAAAAAGCTCAACTAATAAAGAAACTGTATTATTTACAAACTGTTTGAATTATTTGTGTGTGTGCGTGTGTGTCTATGACTATGTGCACATGGAGTATGGAAAAGGGCATTGGGTCCTCAGAGCTTGGAACTGAACTTGGGTAACCTGTAAAAGCAGTTTAACTCTTCACTGCTGAACCACACCAAAAACTCTTTTATTTTTGGATGAGTTTGAATTAGCCAGAACATCATAATTTGATCATGCTTTCTCTTAATGCAACGTATAGGTCTTAGATGTACTAAAAAACACATACATAACCTGTTTAGAACTACTGGTGCTTAAAATAGTGAACAGCAGAAGGTGCTGGAGGTTAAAAAAAAAAAAAAAAAAGCATGTGTTTTTCAAAACAAGTGGAACACATATAAATAAAAATCAATGTTAAAAAAAAATTAAGTGGGGGGGGGGTCAGCGAGATAGCTCAGTGAGTTCAAGGTTGCTGCCACCAAGCCTAATAAACCCAAGTTCCATCCCTAAAAATATGCGGTAGAAGGAAAGAACAAACTCACCAACCTTTCATGTGCTCACTATACACCCCCAATGAACATTTAAAAAATTTAAAAACCCTAAGAGATGAAAAGTATTTACATATTAATTACTCATTGATTTCTAGAATGATGGAAATCCTACAAAGCAACTTTGAAAAAAAGTTACCTCTAGGTTTAATCTCAAACCTGATGGTAACGAGCTCGGAGAGCAGAGGGTCATTTCAGAACACAAGGCGCACTGTAACATACATACCCATCAATGATGAGGTGTTCATAGGGAGCCTTCTTGTCACAGACAGGACAGACCCAGGTCGGTTTCTTCTCATTCATTTGAATATAAAGAGTGGCATCAAAACACTGAAGGTGGGAACAGGTAAGCGCTCGACATGGAATTGTCAGCCGCATTTTCCCAAGCTTTAAGGGGGTGAAAAGGTCAATATTAATATGTGTTGCTGAAAACTTAGGATATAACACTCATTTCCCGAAGTACAATATGCATATATTCTGATTTAAAGCATACTTGCCCACAATTTTGTGAATTCTCAGTGAACATCATGGAAGAGGGGCAGAAGGACAGAAGCATGAAGCCAGAGAAGCGTGAAATCTGCTGAGACTGTCTCCGAGAAACAATAGGGAAGCCTCTCACCCGTGATACTGCAACAATATGTCTACCTAAAAAGACCCGAGCCAGGCTAAGACTGACACACATGCTAACATAGGACAGGGAAGGCTCACAGTACCCCACTCCTAGACTAAGAACTATATAGAGGCAATTAAGGGATGCTGAAACTACAAGAAACAGTATTCCCCAGGGATGAGCTTCCTAATTGGTTATCAGATACCAAACAGTCAGCTTGGAAATTATATATATACAAGTTAAAAGTTCATCATATGGACTGAGGAGGCTGTATTTATATACTTAGGCATATTTATAATAAGGCATACTTTATACTAAGGCATAAAGTATACATTTGTACTAAGGCATGTGTATAAATACATATCTATGTAATAACAACACTTAAAGAAAAGAGGCCATGATTTTGAGAGTGAGCAAGGAAGGGGGTCCTTGGAGAAGATAGAAGAAAAAAAGGGAAATGGGAAAATGTTATACTTACATTTTAATTTTTTTAATTTAAAATTTTAATATAAAACACGTTGTGTACAAGTGTGTGTGTGTTTCACTACCACAGAAGAACATAAAACACATTTTTTGAGAAAGCTCCCTGAAGTTAGCACACTACAGTGTATCCCTGGATACAAGCACAGTGACTGTGGGGAGGGCCACTTACTACCATCTATAGGCTGCAGGTGATTTTCTTTTTCTCTTTTCTTTTCTTTTCTTTTTCTGAGACAGGGTTTCTCTGTGTAGCCTTGGCTGTCCTGAACTCACTTTGTAGACCAGGCTGGCTTTGAACTCACAGAGATCTGCCTGCCTCTGCCTCTCAAGTGCTGGGATTTATGCCCAGCATGAAGGCGAGTTCTTGTTGGGAAGAAAGTGCTCTCTCATAGTATGTCTGTGGGTGAGCTGAACCTGGGGCCTCATGCTTGCTAGCCAAGCATTTTACCACTGAGCTGTATTTCCAGCCTTCTCAAACTCATAATCTTAAATCAGTCTTTGATCTGAAAGAAAAAAAAAAAAAAAAGCTAAGAACTATCTAGAGATTTAGAAAAAGACAGGGAGATCAAGATGGACTCTAACCTCATTTCTGAAAGTGTTTCATACCCATTTCCCATTTCCTCCATGGGGAGAGGCCTAATGGCTGGGGCAGCTCTGAAGAGGAGGCAGATGTGCACTCTAGCTCTCTTCACTGGGCATCATTATTCAGCCAACAGCCCTGTGGCTCAAGCATCGCTGGTACATTTGGGGACATTTTTCTTGACCAGTAATTGTCACCTGAATTGACACAAGCTGACTCTATCCCACATACAGAGGTCTTCTTTGATCCTAAGCTGCTTGCTTGGGCCTAAGGTAAGAATCATGCCTAGGGACCTGAATAGGGAATGCAATCATGACCTCTGTCCAGAACCAAGTCCATGATGGCCACAGAGCACATACACTACTCACTTTCTATAATGATATCATTTGCTAAGTTCACAGAAAAAGAATCCCTGTGTTTCTGAGTTAAAAGGGGAAAAGGTTCTTGGCTTACAAAAATTTCAGGGAAACGTGTAATTTCCTTGTCTACCAAGGAAACCACGGTCACAGGGCCCTAAATTATTGTTCTGGTACCAATGATTTACTGTGCTTCTAGGGAAGCCACTTAACCTTTCTTGGCCTCCTTTTCTATCTAGAAAGTAGCAGCATTTCCTCTTTACTTCCACCGGATGCAGTGATGAAGATTTAAAAAGGACTTTGAACATGCTAACAACTTAAGACAGGAGGAACATCAATTTATCACGTCCAAAGTAGGGAGAGGAGAGACCGGAGCAAACTGAAAGGACCATTCTCTTCTATGCCCCAACCCTACCCTTGAATAAGATTACACCGTTTGTTTGTTTGTTTATTTGTTTGTGTATCTCCTGCTGGAAACAGGTCAGACTCATGTCCTTGCCTCCAGCTTTAGAAAAGAACCTGCTACACTGTAAGATGGTAGTCTTGTATACTGCTAAACTGTCAGCTGTGCATGCTAGCAGTCTTAGGAGAAACTCTGTCTGAAAGATGTGAATGGCACTAGGATTACAGGAATAAAAGCATGTGAAAGGAAAGCCTTCAAGAACTACTTCTTTCAAAGTGTAAGTAGACTCTGTGCCTGTCGCTTGGATTCTGAAATCATCCTTCTTCCTGTCTTACTGTCTGCAGAAGCACTGGGAGAAGCCCAACAGCTCTACAGCTGGCACTAAGTTCCCATAGGACTTTCAACCTACACTTTCTTCACTTACCATTAAGCAAAGAGCAGGAATTTGCATTTTGAAGTTACAGTCTAACCTGAGATATGGAAACTGAATTTGGAACTGCGATGCAGTGAGGAGGACATTTGCCTAACATGCAAGAAGCCCTGAGCCCTACCACGCTCACAAAGGTGTGCCTGCAATCCCAACCCTTGGGAAGCGAAGGTGTTCACAATCATCCTTGGACAGGATAGGGAGTCTGAGGCCAACCTGGGCAACATGATCCTCTGTTTCAAAAACAAAACAAAAACACAAAACCAAACGATTGCCCTGCCATTAAAAGAAATAAAAATAAAGGATAAAAATTTAATCTGGCACCATCAACTAGACCATAACTTGGAAATTAAATGACTTAGTTAATGGCAAACAGGCAATAGGTTTCTTTTTTTCTTTTGCCAGAACTAGTTTGTTCTTTGGCCTTTTTTTTCATGTGCCTATGGCAATCAAATCATAAGAATTGAATGCCAGTTCAGTAAAGGGTGTCATGAAGCTGTTTAGTTGGCCCTTTGTGCACACAGGCAAGAACACAATCCCCAGCCTTTGTGGTGAGCTTCACCGACAAGGTAACGTACAGTCTGAAAGCAAACAGATAGATACACAGTACAGAAATGAAAGTAATAAAAGGAATAAGAAACCAGAAGTTCACGTTCAAATATAAGGCCTTTTATTAGCTATCCCACAAATGCCACCTCAAAGAATCATAAAATAACTCTTATGTGAAAAATCCTATCTCTGCTTTTTAAAATCAATCACTAAAGATTTAACTGTCTACCAGACAAACAGGCATCTATTGTCTCTAACTTGATGAAGAGTGAGCTCTGAGCAGCTTAGACTTTTAGTTACAAAGTTCTCTTCCCTTTGAAGGACAAGATGGGCATCTGTATTGCCCACAGGTAAACATGAACAAGCCTCATTTAGTGAGGCTTAGAGTGAGACTGACTTTACTCAATGGTGCTACCGCTCATTACGCTGCATGAGAGAAAACTAGACATAAGTCTCAGCCAGCTTACACCAGCAGGACCCTATAATACCATGACAACATGTACTTTTTCTTATAAAAAATAAAGTGATTGATATTTTTTAAAAATCTCATTTTTCATACTAATAAGTACTCATAAAATAAATTTCTAGTTTATTTTCTCTCTTCTATCAACTCTAAATTATCAGCATTTGGGTTTACAGGTTTTTGGAACAGCTCACATCTGACTTCTCAACATTTCTGTCACTTCTTAATAAATTAGAACTGACAATCCTCAAAGAGAAAAAGCATTTAATTATTTTTGTTGCCTTTAGCTAAATGGCACACAAATAAAAGAAACTCATTTATTCTGAGCTCTGCATATTACAAAAGGGATAGAAATGCATAGTAAGATAACATATTTACATATTTCAAAGAACAAATCTCCTTTTATGATTCCATAAATTTGATATATAGATGAGTTATCACAACTGTATTGTATTTTTGAGCAAAAACATACCTAAAAATATATGGCCTTGCTGTTCCAGAATAACAATAGAGGGATTGTCCCTTTAGCCAAACAGGAACTCATGACATATTGTATTATATATTACATATAGTAGCATTTTTATAATCTGAATTTTGAAAGCAGATGCAAATTTATAATGAACTGCTAAAGCTGTTGGAACTAGTAAGAGAGGAGCACAGGGGGATACGGAACTAGAACTGGCTCAGTAAATCAAGATGTATAAGAACAAAATGTGATCCACAGTTCCCAGTAACATGGAAGAGCACCTGAGCTACAGACTGTAGCGCTCACGCCATGAATAAAACTGCCCCATATACAGGGCTGCTTGTGTTCATATCAACCCTTTTCGTGCGACTGCTCAGTGTTAAAAACACTATCTGTTGGTGCAGCTGTAAACACTTTAAGATAAGAAAGCAGAGAAACAAGACTCTAGTGAATTAAGCGGGAAAGAAAGCCTCTGCGTTCTTCTAAATTTGTCAAATCCTTTCAACTGGGGTTTTACAATAAACTGAATCAGAGAGAAATCATGAAAAGGAGTAGGTTAAACTGGAGAAAAAGAATGAGAGGTATCATTTTGAATTATCTTGTTTAAAGTTTTTTTTTTAATTTTTATTTACCTTTATTTTATGTGCACTGGTGTTTTGTATGCATGTATGTCTATATGAGTGTCAGATCTTGGAGTTACAGACAGTGCGTATGCAAAGATTTTTTCCCCCCTCACCTTCTACCTTCCTGGTCTTGAGCCAATTTTATGCTTCTTAAAAAAACTAATTTTCCATTTTATTTTCCAACTATTTATTCCCCACGTACTTAACTATTTATAGTCAACATCAATAACAAACGTTTCCTTTACAACACAAGGCTGGGGCTGGAGAGATGGCTCAGTGGTTAAGAGCACTGTCTGCTCTTCCAAAGGACCTGGGTTCAATTCCTAGTCACCCACATGGCAGCTCACAACTGTCTGTAACTCTAGTTCCAGGTGGTCTGACGCCCTCATACCAATGCACATAAAATAAAATTAAACTAAAAAAAAAAAAAAAAAAAGAGTTAATCCTACAACACAGGCTGTTATAACATCTGGTTATTAAAGAACTTTTAATAATAGTAACAACACTTCTCTTAAGGAAAACAGGGAATAAAGAAGAATCAGAAGGAAAGTCCTTCATAGAACACTATGGCCATTGGACATAGTGGCTTCTAACTGTGTTTCTTCTGTGGTCATGAAGATACTTAACAGGTAGGGAGGGATCCCAGCTTTAAGAACCATGAACAGGACAGAGCTGCAGTTAACCATATACAGATGGCTTTATATCCAAGCCAGGGCTTAGTAAGCAGATACAAACCTTAGATGTAGGATAAGCAATAGTTAATGTTTTAACAACTTCTTGCTTCATCAAGAACACAGGAAGTACTACCCTCTTAGGTTAACGGGATCTCAACGCTGAAAGATGTCAATGATCCTACCTTCTTGAACAATCCAGGCAAATCATGAGACATGAGTCCTTTCAGTCTTCATATAGTTGAATATGGTTAATTTGACTAATCAAAATGTCAGCAATTTATTATTAATCTTTACTTTCTTTCATATGAAGGCAATATTCAATTGCCATCCCTAATCCTGGTGGGCCCACCAACAAATCAGCTTGCTTGCTTATTTATCTATTTATTTATTTGCTTGTTTATTTATTTATTTATTGCTTGCTTATAGGTTTAATCATTTGGTCCTATCTTATGACTTTATATTTGTTTCATTCAAATGACTGTTTCTTCTCTTTCTGGCTTATAACTATCTTTATGTAAACTCTACAGCCATAAGGAACTCAGTCAGGGAGAACAGAATTTTCTCCTTTTCTCTTCTTCTCTTTCTCCTCCCCTTCCTCCTTCTTGAAGACAGAGTGTTACTATGGTAGCTCAGCTGGCCTTGAACTCATGGTAATCCATTTGCCTCAGCTCCATCCCCACAAGTGCTAAAATTACAGGCATGAGTCTCGTGTGTGTGTGTGTGTGTGTGTGTGTGTGTGTGTGTGTGTGTGTGTGTAATACTGGGAATGGCATTGTTGTGTTTCAAAATCATCTCAGAGCTCATATGTAAACCAAGCTGGTCTTGAACTCACGGAGATTCACTTGCCTTTGCCTTTCAAATACTGTGATTAAAGGTATGTGCCACGGCCAGCTGACACAGTTCTTAACTGGTGGATTCTTATAGCCACCGTTGATAAAATGGCTAAATTGCAGTGTGGGTGACTGGGATTTTTATCAAGAAAAGTCCACAACATTGCTTACTCTGCTCTTGTAACTGGAACCTGAGAAACAGTTGTTTACTGAAGGCAATATTTAGATGATACACACCATGAGAAAGGCCCACTTTAGAATTATCCAGCTCACGGTCCTATGCTTCAGTGTCTTTCCATTTTGATAAACTGACAGTGTAGAGCAGGGAGATTCCTTAAGTTAGCAGAATTTCTTACACTCAGTAGAAAGATGTGTATACAGCAGTCTCAAAGGCAAGCATTAGCACTTACTGGACACAGCAGCGAAACCCGTAGGCTGGTGGTAGCTATTTCACTGTCTGGATCTGCAGTTAATTTCTCTTTAACTGAAATACATTGAATAGAAAACAAGCAGAACAAGTTTATTAAAGACATTACCAATATAACATATTTAAAAAGGAGCTTAAAATCTAAAACCTAGAAAACTTGAAAATACCAACTCAATCATCTTCAGTCAGCAGCCTGGAAAGCCAAGAGCAGCTCCCCAGCTTCCGTCCACAGTGGTAAGCAAGGGAAGGAGTTTCACTTCGCAGTCTCACTGAGCCCCTGCAGAGCACTGGCCCAGAGCACAGCCCACAGGAGCAGCCCAACAGCCACCTGTGTGTTCCAGGGATGTAGCCCTTTCTAGGTATTACTCTAAGATACTAATGATTTCCTTTAAAATTATGATTAGCTTGTATTCTTTTCTTTTAAAGTAATAGAGCAATGATAATAAATTTTGAAAGGCCAGAAAATGAACAAAATATTTACTATAACCACATTAACTTTAACTTCAAATTATGAAAAGAAAAAGACCAACTATTTTCTTTACCATGTAACTAAATCCTGTCGTTTATCTGTAGACTCACTGTGCTGTCTTTAGCAAGTAAATATGCCTCTTTCAGCTTAATGTTATTCACGGTAAATCCAGAGGCCACATCAGATAATCTAGGTCTTTTCAGTTCAAACTTCCTATAATTTTCAAAAAAGGAGGCACTAATAACTTTTCTTGGCTATTCTTTTATAGTCTTCCAGCTTACTGTAAAATAGTCTTTATACTTCCTATGCATAGTCGCTTAAATAAGAACAGCCCCCACAGTTCATAAATTTGAATGCTTAGTCACCTGAGAGTGGCACTATTTGAGAAGGATCAGGAGGTGTGGCTTTCTTGGAGGATGTGTGTCACTGGGGGTGGGCTTTGAGTTTTCAAAAGCTCAAGCCAGGGCCAGTCTCTCTTGCTCTCTCTCTGCCTACAGATCAGGATGTAGCTCTTAGTTACTGCTCCGGTATGTGTCCTTCATTTTCCTCATCATGATGATAATGGACTAAAGCCTCTGAAACTGAAAGCACGGCCCCAAGTAAATGCTCCCTTTTATAAGAGTGGCCTTGTTCATGGTGTCTCTTCACAGCAATAGAACACCGACTATGACATAATGTGTAAACCTGAGGTAGCAGTAATCGCTGAAGATAGGAACCAACATAAAACACTGAGTCAAAAACTGCCCCCAGAGAAAATATTCCAACAATCTTAGAAACAGAAGCCTGAGGTGGGGTGGTTTTGAGCACAACCAACAACAGTTTCAGAGCTGCTCCACAATAATTATCATCACGTTGGTAACACAGTGAAGAAAACGGGAGTGAGGGAAGCACAAACTGGTGCTAGCTGCCATTAACAACACTGAGAAGCCAGCCCCTTTAGGAAGTATGTGATCATACACACAGTTTGGAATTTTTAGATGGCCCACATTTTGGACAATATCCTGAAGTGTTGTCTTTGATTACAGAATCTCAACCTAGAAGCACACCTGAGTTATACCTGGAGCACTGTAACTTATAACTGATCACTATATTAGACTGGGGAAGAGGGACAGGAGTGGGTGGTTTAAAAAGCTCCACACAGATTTCTGATGCCAGACTAAGAAGTTACTTGATAGACTGGAAATCCAAGGTTTTTAAAGTCTGTATATATTTCACAGGCTGACTTTCATATCCCCAAAGCCACAAAACCTCTGAATTTTAGTTTGGAATATAGAGCCATCAAGATACCATAACTAACTAATTCCAAATATAAATTAGGAAGTTATGTGTTTGCCACTGTTCACCCAATCCTTTCTTACAAAATAATAATTTTACTTAATTAGCAGGACAAAGTGGCTTTGTAATCCCAGGAGGATTGCTGAGTTGCAGGCTAGCCTGGTCTACACAGTGAATTCCAGGACAGTCTGGGCTACAGTATGAGACCCTGTCACAAAACAAAACGAAATTCCAATTAACAATAACAAAACTCAACTCCTTAGTGACAACACATAACTGCCATAGGAAATAAGAATGGAAACAAAATTCGAATGTGTTTCTGAGGGTATCTGGGAAGAGAATGGCATGGGAATTCATGAACTAGGTGAGAGAAGGGCTGTCCTCAGTGTGGGAGGGGCAATTCAATTAACTGTGTAGGGGGCTGTGAAGTGGGCAAGAAAGAACAGAAAACACTGGAATTCAGCCTCTGGGTCTCAATATTCACACAGCACCCAGGGCTCTCCAGTCATCAGCCCCATCTGGGAACTACATTATTGGCTTCTCTGAGCCGTTAGACTGGGGCTCAGCCATGCTGCCCTGCTTCTCCAGCTTGCAGATGGCACACCATGGGACATCTCAGCCTCCATAAACATGCAAGCCAATTCCTCTATTATTTTTTCTCACCAGTTTTTCTATTTTTATCCTCCAGGTTCTTACTTGCTCTAGAGAATCCTGAGTAAGGTACCTTCTACTCTGCATGCCTTTATCAAATGGCCCATCAGCATCCTCCTACACAGCAATGGGAGCATTAACTGTCTAATAAGCATAATGCAGCCACAGTGCATCAGCCTTCAAATCAAAACTCGGTGGTCAGTACTTTGGAAGGAAACAACAGGAGGTTGCACACGGTGGGCAGAGAGAGAACAGGTCCTTGAGCCAGTAAGGCAGAATTCTGACTTATCAAGTCACTTTAGTCACCTTTAAAATGTGGTAAATGAAAATAATAATTATCTCACATCATTGGGTTAAGTGAGTTTAATCCAATGAAAACTGTCTTAAACTAATATTATATTCAGTAAGAGCAAGCAATTGTTACTTAAAATAATTTGCACGCTCCCTCTCTGTTAGAGATATTTTTTTAAAAATTGTTTGTGGATTTCTATTACAACAAGCAAACAGAAAAATCACCTTTGCTATGACAGACTTGATCGTACTCTTATACATTTAAAAAAAAGTGGGGCAGAGCTGGGTGCAGTGGTGCATGCCCGGAATCCTAGCACTTGGGAAGGAAGAGGCAGGTGGATCTCTGTGAGTTCTAGGCTAGACTAATCTATAAAGTGAGTGCAGGACAGCTAAGGCTACACAGAGAAACCCTGACTTGAAACAAACAAACAAACAAAAAGAAACCAAGAAGTGAGGCAGCCTGGGCTCTCCATCAGCTGAGAGCTGCTCAGCTGCTCCAGGCTGAGCGTTCCAAACTATCCCACAACATCTTGAATATCTTTGCTCCAATGGGCTGCGAAGCAAGGCATGGTCAACCGGTAGACCATCTGCAGCTCCTGAAGAATGGTTTTATTGGAGTAGCAGAATAGGGGCTGGGTGAACAAGTGCTTGCAGCACCAGCATGTGTGAAATAGAAATCTCATTTATTACGCTACCATGGCAGACACTGATACAACCAGTCTCACAAAGGTAGTAGAATGCCTTCCAGAAGGCTGTTACAAGGAGTGACAGAGCTGAACCCATCTCCTCTTGCAGGGTATTTGTGTACACTGTGAGCCCCAAGATTGTGTTGTTTACTGAAAAAACCTGTTTCTAGTTGTGGTGTGACTCAGCCTGAGCACACACCTTTAATCTAAGTGCTTTCTATTTGAATTAAAAATAATCAATCATAGGTCAAGAGGCGGAACAAGTAACCCAGTTGACAAAAAGTGAACATAAGAAAAAAGTAGAGAGTAAGAGGAAGTCAGGAGGACAGATAGAGACACAACGGAAGTAGGAGGGAGGGACATTCAGTTTGAGGGTGTTTTGGGTGGGGGGAAGGCAGGAGGATACCCTTTTGGGATACTGGCTGAGGAAGGTCAGCTGGGTGCTTTCTCTGCCTCTCTGAGCTAGCAGGCTTCATCCCAGCATCTGGCTCCTGATTTTTTATTGGTAAAACTGAACATCTGCGATTTTGTTCTACAATCTCATGAGAAACAGACAGCTTTGTTAACAACTGAGCTATTTAGAACATGGGTAAAAGTCTGTGGTCCTCTCTAGACTGCAAAGAAAACTACTACCTTTACTACGTTCTTAACGTAAATGTTAGTAATAAAGCAGATCCTGCAGCCAGGGACGAAACCCAGAGCCTCGTGCCTGCTAAGTGAGCTGGTGCTCTCACTCGGAGCTGTATGCTCAGCCACACCCTAGGAAAGACACTTTCAAAGATCCCACTAGGGTCTTTCGAGGACTGGACCTCTAGATGAATCTGGGGAATGAGTAAGCAGTCACGCTGAGTCTTCTGCTCTGCCAACATCACGTCCTGTCCATCTAACCCAGGTCTTCTGCTGGGCTTCACATAGCGTTCAGCATCTATACCCTGCACACCTTTTATGCCATACGACTCTGGGGAATGCATAGCTGTCTCTATTTACACACCGTCCAGTTATGCATTAATAATAAAGACAATTCAGTTACATCTATTAATCACAAATTCTCCAAATCATGACTCATGGATTTGTTCTAGCAGTTTCTTTAACAAGTCCTCAGGACCTTTTTTCAGTGTAAATAATCTGCAAATAAAGATAATTATTTACGTAACCCTAATCTTTATCTCTCCTTTCCTTGTTGTGCTGGCTAGGACCTCCAGGGTAATGCTAGGCATCAATACTCTAACTTTATTCATAGTGTTAGAAGAGTCAAGGGTTTACCACTAACTATAATATTAACTGAAGTTTTTCTTTCTTTTTGGTAAATGCTTTGGAACACTGAGGCAGTTCCCTTCTTGTTCCATCAATATTTTAATGAGATTTTTTTTTTAAATCAGGAATAAATGTTAAATTTAGTCAACTGCTTCTGCCGCACCTATAGAGATAAATAAATTTTTCAGTTTCTCACAAAAACGAATTATAGATTAACTTTCTAATGTCCAATTAGGAACTTATAATAATCAAAATAATTGAAAAAAAAGTGGGAAGACTGTTTTCAAGGCTTGCTAAGAAACCAGAAATAGATCCACATACCTACCGCCAATCAGCTTTTGAGAAAAAAATCAAAGAAATTAAATGAGGAAAAAATACTCCTTTAAAGGAACATTGTTGAACAGCTGGTTACCAAGGAGGCAGGAAAAGCA